CTTGCTAAAGAAAGTCAGCTTATTCCAGATCCTCCTGAAAATACATAGACTACTGCCTGTCTCCATCCTGGCCAGCTCAGCCCTGGCTCGGGCATCTCAGGGCACCAGGCTGGATGCATGAGGCCCTTGGCTCTGTGGACCAGCCAGGGTCCAGCCTCATCTCCCAGGTGTGGGCTTCTGTCCTCTGTAACGTTGGTGTGTCCTCCTCTCACAGACAAATGTCCTCTGCTTCAGCAGCCTGGTACACATGTCAGCTTATGACACATGAAAACAGCCCAGGAAGCCAGAGGGCTGTTGGTGGCAGCACCAAAGGGGGTTGAAGGAAATCCTCTGGGAAGGAGTTAGGAAAGGTGGCAGACCCCTAGCCACAGCCTCCTAGGGACACTTTCCAAGGTCAGAACGTGATATGCTGGCAGCCCCTTCCGCAGAGGGTTTGCCCAAAGAAATGCAATTCTCCGAAAGGAAAGGGCGTCCCAGAGCCGTGGAAACTGCAGCAGCAGCAGGGGGCCAGCGGCGGGGCGCAGAACCCCTGCAGGGAACTGGAGGAGATGGGCGCATGGGCCTCGCTCTTCCGGCTGGGCTCTGGCTCTCAGAAGGGGCAGAAGGCTGTGCTCTCCTGTGGTCACCCTCTGATCGCCCCCTCAAGCCAGGCCCCCGGGAAAGGTTCGGCCAGCGACCCTCTGTCCAGGGTTAGCTCCATCTTCTCCCTTCTCCAGGACAAGGCACTTTCTCCAGGGCTTCGGGTTGTCTGGTTTCACTTCTTGGCGACTAACCACTGACTCTGGCCCTTGAGGAGGTACAAAGAAGGGGGTGTTTAAGATGGAGCCCCGTGGGTGCCCACTGGGCTGGGCGATCCCACAGACCCAGCTGACCTTGGCCGAAGTCCAGCACCCTCCCAGTTTGGACCTGTCCTCTCTGCCCCTTTTCTTTCAACACAATTCCATTCGTCATCCCCTGATTCAAGACACAAGTGTGGCCCAGAATCCTGCTCGTTGACTGTTCTATCAGGGAAAGGAGGATGAGGCAAGGCAGGGGACCCCCTGAGGGTGACAGCCAGCTCCTCCCTCTTTGTTTTGTAATCCCTCTGGCCAACTGGGCTGTCTCCTCATTCTGGTTTTGCTGGCCGCCAGTGTTCTCACTGAGCACACAGTCCGTGCCCTGCTGGGCATCCCTGTCAGCTCCTGTGCCTTACAGCCCTTCATAGCCCCCTCTCTCCCTTCGCACTGCCTGCACACAGTAGTTGCTCAGTAAGGTAGGCTGATAATTCAGCAGGCCATGGATGTTTATGAGCCTGGACCAGTGGGTTGGGGGAGACTTGAGCTGGGTCCATCGGAGGCCTTAATGAATAAGAAAGCTCTTCCGCTTTAAGAGTTCCCTATCTACCGTGGGAGACCGACTTTCTCACTCTAACGGACTGCGGAGGAAGCAAAGAGCACAGGGTTCCTGGTTGTTCCAAGGAGGGAACTCATCCAACAGAGGAGCCCAGAAAAGTCTTCCTGGGCCGTGGTGTCTAAGCGGGGCCTTGAAAGGAGGGTACAATTTGCAGTAAGAAGGGCATTCCAGGCCAAGGGCCCAGCATGGGCCAAGGTGTGGGGGTGGGAAAGCAGAGGAGGCATGTAGGAGTCAGTGAGTAGACCCTGGCAGCCTGCTCCCCCTTCCCCTGGAGAAGGCCTGGACGGTGCTGAAGCCTGTCCCCAGCTCCGTTCTGCCTCTGCCTATGTCAACAGACCTCTCCAGGGGCAGGGCTTTTCTAGAAACCAGAGGGCCCGTTTGCGTTAAGAATTCTGCCTTAGTGTACACAATCCAGCTTCCTTCCCTGTGCCCCCTGCGCCCCCCTCCACCAGTGCGAGGAGTCTGTCGCTTCAAGGCAGCTCCACACTGGAGAATTCTCCTCGGAGAAATGAGCAGCGGTTCCCCCAGTCCTGCCTGCCTTCCCTGCTCTCCGTCTCCTCCTCCTTCCTGATCCGCACACCAGTGGCTTGTCCTCCTTTTCCTTTTCAGAGGTTTGGAGTCTTATGTGCTTGATGTCTGAGGTTGCCTGAAACGGTGTCCAGGTGCTGGGCAGGGGCTGGGCCAAATGTGTGCAGTGTGAGGTGGTGATGGGAGGGGTGTAGAGAAGCCAAGATGAGGGAGGCTGGGCGAACCGGACCACAGCAGCACAGTGTCCCTGACATTTGTGGGGCTTTGGGGATCTCCCTGCAGGTCAAGCAGTTAGACCTGTACTGCTCAGTCCCCAGTGAATCCAGCAACTAGACACCGATGTGAGAAGCACCCTCTGCCACCACGCCTGCCCCGGGGGAGCTGGCCCGTTACCTCCTCCTGGGTGGCCAGGTCCCCTTGGACGGCTGTTATTCAGAGTTATGAAGCACATGCATGCCACAGTTTTGCAATGCCAACTCCATGCACAACACTGTCACAGCCAGTGGCCCCAGGTGGAGGGGCGTGGAAGGCACCAGCACCCCAGTGCTCCCAGGAGCTGACCAGTCAGTTCACAGAGAACAGTCACCTACAGGGAGGTGATGAGCCCCCTGGGCAGGGCTGGGTGCATCACTCTCCCCTGGGCCGGCAGTTCTCCGCAGGAGGGGCTGCCTTCCTTCCGGAGGGACTGAGTGTCTTCAGCCTCCGTGAGCCTTCTCTGGCCACCAGCCCCTTGTGTGGCCCTTCCCCAATCCTTTCCTCCTGCCGCGCACCTGTGCCTCTCCTCCTGGCATTTGGTCTGGTCTGCTGGCGTGAGTACAGATCCCCAGCTTCTCCACCAACTTCCCGATCATTTGGCCCTCTACTTCTAATCTCCCTGAACCACATTTGATGCAGAGTTGATTAAGGTCCACATGGAGGGGCCCGGGTGGGGGCCCTGGAGTCAGGAGTCCCAGGTGGGCGGGGCGTGGGGGTATGCAGCTTGCACCCGTGACAGGAGGAATTCCTAGTCGAGGATGCTCGAGGCACAGACTACTTGGGGAGACGACGTGCTCGCATAAACGAGGCCAAGCCTCTGTGGACTGTTCCGCACAGGGGAGGGCCGTGTGGGTGCGGACACCAGCCGAGCAGTGTCTGTTTTTCTCTGAGCACCGGACAGTTTACAGTGAGATGTGCCCAGGGCCTTCCCTCCCACCCCACATCTGGGTTCTCCTGCCACCTCCTCTGTACTTATTTTCCTTGACTCTGAATATTCTACTTTTCTTTGCACACATTTCTATTTTATTATTTACATTATTGGAGGGACGTCAGACCCTGGTAGTAGCAGCTTAGGTGTAATAAGCATATGAGTAACAGCAGACTGAAACATAGTAAGGGGGCCCCTGTGGGCCTGAAGTTGTCCAGGGCATCCAGCTAGCACAGAACCCCTGCCTCCAGGACCCTCTAGTGAATATCAGGCTCTATTTTCAGGTCATCAGTGGGTTGCGATGACTCCAACGACAGCCTGAAAGGGAATGAGGCTGTGGGTCCAGAAGAACCAGGTTGCACCTGACTGCTCAGGATCTTGGATGGGGGGAGGAAGCAAAGCGAAGGACGAGGAGGGTGCTGTGGAAGGTGGCCCCGTCAGTCCCCCGGCAGAGCCAGGGCAAGAGCAGGGCTCTCAGAGCAGAGGATGTGGGCGGGGCCTCCATGGGCTCCTTCCTCCATACAAGTGGTAAGAAATTATGTTTTATGACTGCTCTGGCAGAAAGGTGAATCTAACCCTGCATGGATCCATGATCATATATTCATTTTTTCTTCTGATTTAAAAGAAGTGAAATTTAAAATGTTTTCCCAGCCCCTGAAGGAACCGTGGGGCTGGGCCTTGCCCGGTGGAGAGGTCAGCCCTGGACAGGGCACTATTCGGAAAGCGCTGCCTCCCGGCCCTCTCCCCGGTAGGAAAAGCCACTGCTGCCAGTTGGCGGTTTGGGCCGGGGTCCCTCTGCTCCTGTCACGGGGAGAGTGGGCGGATGAGCTCCATCAAAGACCATGGGGGTCAGTGGTAGTTCAAGTGCTCCGCTTTTCAATGGGAAGCCAAGGCTCAGAGGAAGAAGCCGTCTATTTCCAAAATATCTGAGTGGACAGTTTGGAGTAAGCGGACTGCTGGCTCAGTCCCCCCGGGCCCCACAGCATTACCGCGAGAGTTTGAGTGAGACTTCACTCTGCAACGGGGCGGGGCCTCGGGGTGTGAAGCCCGCCGACTTAGCAAGCCGATGGCTGTGTGTGTGGGCGGAGCCTGAGTGTGAGCTGGCCTGGACACTGCTTGCAAAGAGAGGAGGCATAAAGAAAAATTAAAATGGAAGCAAAATGAGGACGGTGTTTAAACCACTGAAGTATGTAATTTGTTATCTTCAAGACCTTTAGAGGCACCAATTTGTGTTGTAAATCATCTAACAATAAATTTGTGTGCTACACCACAGTTACTTCTTTCATCTTTAAAGCAGGTTTCCCAAGACCTCTACTAAGCAGGGCACCATGAAGAGACAGCAGTAAAACTCTGTCTTAAACAATGAAAACAACTTTAGATTGACCCGATCCAGCCCAGATTTGCCACTGTTTTCTGACTGGTCTTTGTTGGGGTGCAGTGGCCGATTAGGCAAACCCTCCAACTGCGAGCTGTAAGTGGGCCTGGCCGAGGACAGCACTGACAGCTGACGTGGTGGCTGAAGCTCAAAGGAAGAATCCCAAAACACCACCAAGAACAAACGTAGTAGCAAGTGGCCCTCTGTAAGTATGGGGGCTGCAGGGGGCGGAGGGGGGGTGTCCAGCACAGCTGAACCCTAAGTGCTCAAATGACACCGTAATGAACCTGAAACATAGCACAGGAGAGATAGCTTAACAGAGTCCCCTCCCGCCTTCTGTTGGACTTCACATTTCAAAACATTGCTCTCTACTTCTGAGAAGCCTGCTTCTGGGACGTCCCGCTTTCACGAGAAATGATGTGTTCAATTTAATGATTAATCAAGATCATGAACGTCTATGTTTCATTTGTTTTTTAATAATGAAAATCCATAAGAGTTTAAAATATTCTTAGACACAGCTGGTTTGGTAAACACCACAGGCCTTCATGTTTTTGAGGATTCACACCGCAAAAGCCAGTACCTTAGTGCTGGCTGGCTCCCTTTGGCACCAGAAGACAATAATTTATTCAATTCAATACTTAATAAGTGTGCACAAATATCATGCAAACATATGACCACAGCAGAAACAGAAAGTGTACTAGAGTCGCAGACTTATACCAAACATCTTGTAAACGAAAGAGGAGAGGTTGGTATTTTCTGTACAAAATATGCAGGTTTTTACTTTTTTAATAATCTGTAAGACGCATCAGACTTCTGGCATTTTCAAAAAGTAAAAACTGTATAAAAATAAATATTCTATGTACAAACACACACACAGGCCAATCCCAAGTTAGAGGCATCACTGCAAAACAAAAACAAACACAAAACAACATAGAGTTAGTGTCAGTGGGTCTCTGGGTGTTTATTTCCCTCGTGTGAAAGGAGGCAGATCTTGTCCTGGGTTGAATGGGAATTCAGGGGGGGCAACTGGGGTGGAAGACCCTGGGAAAGACAGTCTGCACCCTGAGGGTGGGAAACCACTTTCACCTTCCAGTCACTCCCTTCTTGGCCACCAGAGGGCACTCTCTGTCTATGCTGCCTTTGGACACCAGGCAGTTGAATTATTGAGCATCCGACTGAACCAATAGACACATGAGGCTGTCTAGTTGCTTCTCCAAAACCTTGTAGCTCTAGAGAGTGGCTGTTCTTCCCCTGCAAAGTGCTATTACTGAGTTCTATCAGTTGTGGAACTCTATTCCCTAATCATCAGCAGCAATCTTGAAGAAGAAAATCTTGTTCTTAGGGGGTAAGGGGTGTCATTTCACACACCTCTCTGTGGAGCTTTAACTAGGTCTGGGGGAACTCGCCGGAGGACGAGGCATGGCCAGAGGGGCGGATGCTTGGGGAGGCATCTGCCTTGGGTGCTGAGCATTCCTTTCTCTGGAGAGGGGCACTTCAGGTGCCCGGGCGAGTAGCTGCTCTGCAGAGAGCCTGGGGTCCTGGTGGTTTCACTGCTTTCCCCCAGTCCTATGAACTGACGAGGCTCTGGGCCTCTAGTGCAGAGGAGTGCGTTCATCCGTTGTGGGCATGCCTCTGCTGCCAGTGGGGCAGGACCGGCTTAGCTGAGCGCGGACTCTGGTCAGGCTGGGGACCCTGTGCTTTGGGGGCTGTGGCCGAATGGGGTGGTCGTGTGCAAGGGTACAGTCCTTGGGGTCAGAGGGCTTTGACAATGACAAATACCATGGCAAGTGTGAATAAACGGAAATTAGTTGTTGGAAATTCGGGGCTGGAGGTCTCATGTGTGGAAGCAGGACGCTCCAGCAGCGCACATTCGGGGCGGGGGGGGTGTGGGCAGGCCTGTCTCTGTGGGGCGATAGAAGCCATGTGGGTCTATAGTTTAAGGATTTTAGATTTCTTACATCTGAATGAATGTCATCATATGGCTTACATGACCTCGGATGGACACTATGAGAATAACTGGTGATGACTAATTTTAAAACAAGGTCTAAAGCTCCTTGGAGGAAAGGTACTGTATATGTTAACCACACAAAGCCTACAGTGTCATCTGTGTGGCTATGTGAAAATTACATACACTGGGTTTGCTGATGCCTTAAAAAGCATTTTTACATGTTCTGCAAGTGTGTGCCATGTGTGGGATGTTGAATGGGCAACATGCCTTGGGGATCGTGCCTGTTTCGACCCATGTCTTGCTACCTCATCTGCAGAAAGGCCCAGGATGGAAATCGTGCATGCCTGTCACACTGTTGAGAACAGAACCCCAACTGCACCTGTGCCCTGAGGCACAGCACGCCGCTGGGAAGACTGACCTTGTTCCAGCAGCCCTGGACTGGTAAGCCGTCTTCGCCCTGCAGTGAGGGAGGAAAGCACAAGGCTCAGATTCGTCAGGATGACCCACCACGCAGGCAGGACAGGGCGACAAGGGCCACGAACACCGTGGCTTCTCATTAGGATGCGGCCCACCTGCCCTAGTCTGTTTCTTTTCTATTTCTCCCAGGTCAGGGCCTTGGGAGGACGCAGGAAGCAAGCCCATCTGCTTTCCCGTTAGCTTGGGTCACATGAAGTGACAGCACACAGCCTAGAGAGGCTGTCCTAGCCTCAGGGCAGCAGTGAGCCGAGGCCACGTGAGTACTGTGCAGAGGGCCGCCTGGTCTCTGCTCCAGCTGCACTGAGTGCTGTGTACTCATGGGCAAGTCACAGCACACCTGGCCACCTCTGTGTCCTCCTCTGCAAAACCTGGGGAGGGCGTGGATATACAAAACCACTGCTAAGGTGCACCCCAGTTCTCCCATTCTCTAATTTTTTTCTCTTCTTTAGCAGTAGAAGGAGGAGATCGAAGCAGTTCCCATTTGATGATCAATAAGAGGAAGCAGGGGGCACAAAGGGACATGGCCCTGAGGTGCCTTTGGCAATGTGACAGGGGCTTGCTGGGGATTTGGGAAGAAGATGCAGTGGCAGGATGGGAATTAACTCTGTGCCGCTGTCCACTTTGCTGTTGGCACCCACAGAGCCCATGCAGCCTCAGGATGTCCCATGTCCTCGGGACCCTGAGTCTTGCCTCTCTGGCGTGCCCCAGGGGAATTGAGGAGTCTCTGGGAGACAAGGTGGGAGGGGAAGGCTGAACCAGGGCCAAGGTCGGGTTCTCGGCCCACGTCTACTAGAATTGGAGCCCAGATTCTAGAATTCCAGGCTCCAGGGCAGAGGAAGAGATGGACACTGGGTTTCAGGGGGCCAGAGCAAGTAGTCAGCTCCAAGAAGGTGGGATGGGAGCCCTCTGGGGCCCAGAATGTTTCCATGCACCCGTGACAGGCACCTAACCCTCTCACCTGGCATCCGGCAGGTGGCCAGCCCCACAGAGAGGGCTGGAGAAGTCTGGTTATTTTGCACTAAAAATCATGATTAATAGCACCCCCGCCCCCATGCCCACAATCACAAAATGCAGGAGACGGGGAAAACAGCAACGAGAAGTAGAGGGAAGATAAGTGCACTTCCACAGCAAAATTAATGGACCGATGTCACACCAACGTGGGATGTTACTGGAGAATACACTAGTTTGCATTAAGGGTCAAGTATGCATGACCTTCATTGTCCCCCTGGGTGAGGGAGGGTCTGCAGGGAGAGGTGGTGCATTCCAGCTTCATGAAGACCTTATGCCCCCTCCCCAGCCCGCCATGGTGCACCATTTCACATGGGCTCTGGAAGGGAGAGGAGCCTCCGCTGGCCACAGTGGCATTCCCATCGGCACGTGGATGGTGGCAGGGGCGACAGAGGAGGACAGGGCAGGTGAGGATAATGCTGATGTGTGCGAGAGGAGCAGGGAGGCCAGGGCTGCTGCTGGCAGAACTCGAGGGGCTCAGATTGTGGAAGGGATGTGGCAGAGGGGACATGAGGCTCACGATGATTTCACCAAGGCGCACTGGAGGGATGGGGAACCACTCCGCTGGGAAAGGCACCAGTGCGGGCGGCAGGCGGGGGTTTCGGAAGCGGGGGACTGGAGGCACGCTACGCTGCCAGCTTGTTCTCTTCTCCTTTTGTTGTCCATCTGAAAAAGCCCCTGGAAATTCTTCTGAAGGGGCTCTATGGTCATCTTTTGGGGTCAAACAGCATATTTTTTAAAAATAGTGTTTTCTCTTCTGTTCAAAGATCATTCCCGTGTGAACCCAGGGTGGGGATGTGGGGCCTGGAACTCTCATCTAACTGTTGCTTGTATGAACATAGTTCCCTGAACTCCAGACCTCCCGGGGAAATTTAGGACAGGGAGCTTTTGAGCCCATTGCCTTGGAATGAAGTGGCGTCTTCTACTTCCTTTGCGGTAAGTTGAAAGGATCTCTGTGGAGGTCTCGCATGTCCCTGCCTAGACAGGGACTGGGCCAGGTGGGAACAGGCCTGCTGTCCTAGTCTGGGACGTGCTTGGGGGAGGGGTCCTAAGTGTCTCTCACCCTCCCTCCCTGCCTCCCCCGTCTCCTCTCTCCTCTTCCGTAAATGCATTCTCAGCCGAATGCATCCTGCTCTTCCAGACTTCTCAGGAGTGAGCCAGCTAAAGGCGAAAGAAAGGGAGACCCTAGGGAAGCTCTTATAATGTCTTTTGGGACTTAAGCAAAAAGGGCAAACCCTTTAGGGTCTAAAATCTCCAGTTCAGGCAGAATTACCAGGGCAGCAACCCCAGCCCCAGCCTGACAGAACGGCCAGGATGGCCTTCTTCTCTACCTTGGGTCTAGAACTTCTGTGTCCCCTGTGTTTATCAGAGTGCCCATCGGTCCTCCGCCAAATCATGAGATGCCGGAGCAGGCAGGGCTGTGGGGCTGACTAGGGCATCTGATTCACACGTGCCCGGTTCTCAGCCAGTGCTTTCCCAGCTAACTGCGATGTGTGAGGGGAGACAAGTCACAGTTCCTCAGCGCCTGTCCAGCGAATCCCCTTTCCTAGCTTTCTCTGTGGTGGCAGGTTGTCTAGAGGTACTTCTGAAAGGAGGATCAGGTGCAGCCAATGCTGGCCCCAGCTGGGCAGGGACGGCTCGCATTAAGGTGATGTGTTTTCTAAGCAGCTGCAGGAGAAAGCCAAGAAAACATCTGGCCAACTTTGCATGCAAGAGATAAGCGTGGTGGGAGCCCCTGAGGGCCAGCCAAGGCAGGTGACCCTGGCTGTCTGCAGAGGGAAGAGGCAGGAAGTGGAGACTGGATGGGTGGAGCAGGAGGCAGTGGAGGGTGGTCGGAGAGCACTCAGGCACAAGCCGCACACGTGGGGAAGCCCAGACTGGCCATGCAGGCAAGGAAGGGTGATGCCATACCAATGGGCACGGGGCATCCAGTCCGTCCAGCCCTGGTAACCCTGGCTCCCCTTTCTCTCCTTTAAAACCTCGGTGTCCCTGTTCACAAAACCAACCACGATGATTATTTAGGTCAAGGCTGGCCGGCTCCGACCATGGAGCAGAGCGGCCCCGTCCCAGCCCGGTCAGGATGCAGGACCTTTGAGGCATCTAGAGGTGGGGCCCTGCGCAGTTGTGTCCCATCTCCCAAATTCAGCCTTTACCCTTTCTTTGGCCTCTGGGAGAGTTTAGCTTTGAAACATGTACAGCCAGCCCCCTCTCCCTTGACAGCCCCCCTTGGAGTCAACGCAGATGAATTTCCATGTCAGTGCTTCATAATTTTCAGAACCTTCAAACGGACTGAGAAGGCACTTGAGAGGCCCAGAGGATGTGCCACGAAGCATTCCTTATTGGCTCGTCTGGGAAGGCTTCCTGGGGGATGTTTGTTTACTGATTTTGGTCTGCAAATTTTGGCTGGGGGCTAGTGGGCGTTGGAAAACTGTCTATTAAAAGCCTGCTTTCTGGCCTTGTTTTGCCCAGCTGGGGCAGAGGTGGCCCTCGGGGGACCCTGACCCGGGTGTCCTGCATCCTGACTGAGCGAGGGTGCCAACAGCTTGCACTGCTGGCTGCAGAGGTGGCCTCGAAACGAAGAAGGCAAACACACGGCTCACAAACGCTGCCCTGGCTTCCAGAGCCGTCCCGGAGCGAGGAGCCAAGACCTCCAGAATCCCTTTCCTCGGGGTCTCTCCACTTCCACACATCAATTGTTCTGCTTCAAAGGAAAGGGATTTAACCAGAATGACTTGCAGCTGTGGCTTTAAGGCAACACCAGCAGCAGGCGGCACTTCAGCGGCCAAGTGCCCGGAGAGGCTGGGTAGCATCCGAGCAGTCATTCGGTTCTCGTCTCAGTTCGTTTGCCTTCTTTGTTTCCAGCGTGCAAACCTCAAGGGAAAAACCAGAACGAGGCAAGTGGTAAATGAAAACATACCAACGGACAGGGGGCATCTAATCCAGGCGCTCCTTGGTCTCCCTTATCCCCTTTAGGCCCTCTAGAGCCTTTCTTCCCCCTCTCCCCCTGCAAATAATGGTTTAGTCCGAGAAAAAAAACAACATCAAAACTTTAGGATCACTCATGTGTGAAGGTTAGAGACAGAAAAATAGAGCAATTAAAGAGGGGAAAAATAGCTTCTTTCGATTAGGACAGTCTCTCTCCAGCAGGATTTGGGGTCGGCTCTCACTGCCGCCCCCCCAGGAACCCCGGGGGTTGGGCTGAGGTGGGCGGGGCAGGGCAGGGCAGGACAGGGTGCAGCGAGGCCTGGGAGCAGGGAGCTGCAGGGCTCCGAGGCAGGGCAGGTGGAGGGCACCGGTGCCAGTTTTGTTAACACTGAGCCCAGAGTGGGTCTGTGGTAAACGGACTCACTTCCTTTTACTTGAGGGTCCATTTTTGAGAGACTTCCGCTTGACAATTTTTGTTCCAATTGGTTTTCATCCCTTTGATGTTCTAGCAGGTGGCAAGGTGATTTTTGTTTAGAGCTCTAGGGTGTGTGTGTAACAATATGTATGAACATGTGCGCACACACAGTTGTGCATATGATATGTGCAAGAATGTGTGGGTACATGCTTGTGCGTGTGTGTGCACACATACATAAATGTGTGTGCTTGGGTGGGTGTGTATAAGAGAGAGCATGTTTGAGCATATACACATGTGTTCAAGTGCATGTCTGTACATGCGTGTCCAGGGCTCATGTGTGGCCCCAGTTCTCAGCCGGCTCCTTCCATTCCATGTGTCTCTGGTCTGTCTGGTCTGAAGCCACACACAGCTATTCATATATGGACAAGGTGTTTCAAGGAATTCACTTGTTTCTGAAAAGCTAGTCAACTTCATCTTTCTGAATTGAATGAACCCTGTTTTGCATGTGTCAAAGTTGCTGTCCGTGTAAAGACAGGCTGTGGGGAATTCTGTGCAATGAATCTGAGTTTGGATTTTCACAGGCTGGGATGCAGTATGAAGGGGCCAAGTGCACCCCTGGGGAGTCTTCCTGGGGACTCCTGCCCTCCGCTGCTGAAGGCCGATTGCCTGATGCTCCCCTGGCATTACTCCAGGGGCACGAGACCTCGGAGGCAGGCAGTCTGCTGATCACAGCAAAAGCTTAATGCCAAAGCAGTTTCTGCCTACATGAACTTCTCAGCAGCGTGACTTGGGGGAGTTACTTAACCTTTCTGAGCCTCAGTTTCTTCACTTGTAAAATGGGGATAATAACACTTGCCTCAAAACTTCGTTGTGAGGTCTTTGTGTTTATTGAGTGCTTAACATTGGCACATAGTATGTGCTCAGTATCGGATAGCTGCTTCAGACCGATAACAGCAATGTTTACTGTTTCTTTTTAGCTAGCATAAGGGTGCAGGCTGCCGCCAGAGGTATGGCCGTGCCGTGGCTGCTGTGTTCCCGTAGTGGGAGGCCAAGGGTTTGTTCAAGGGAGGCAAAGGGTAAGGGTGTTTTTGATGTTTCCCAGGATCTTTGGAAATTAATCAAATTTCTTAATTCCTGAGGTCCCTGTAATTGCCAATGCATTGTTCTGAGTTTTCTAAAATGCAAATGCCTACTTAGAAAATGATACGGGTTTAAGAGGAAACACACGCATGCCTGTCAGGCCTGGTGCATTGGCTCTGAGATGCTCCCACCGATGAGAGCATTGTGGCGCGGACATTCCTCAAATAGTGGGCCGGCAAAACCACTCGCCGCCTCGCTGTTGGGACGGGAAGCCCCACCAGGGTGGCCTTCCTCAGGAAGGTGGCCCCTCGTCCTCCCTGGGTCAGGCCAGGGTAACAGTGGGCGCAGTTTCCCGAGCTCAGAGGTGGGGAAAACTCCCGCAGACTGCGGCACTCCAGGTCCCAGGTGATCTGCCTGCGGGTGGCAGAGGGTCGGCCTGGTCCTGACTCTCAGGACAGGTAACTTGCATTGTGTGGCATCATATTCTAAGGGCACAGTAAATGGCTTTAAATTGGGTGCCCTCTGAATTGAGTGGCTTTACCTGCACCCTCCCTGCTCCCGGAGAGGCCCTGACGCAGAGAGAATTCTAGCCGGCACAGGGAAAGGGGCAGATAAAGTCAAGCTGCAGAAGTTTCTTTAAACCAAATAAATAAATGCATAAAAATTGGATTTAGAGGAAATAAATTGAAGCTGGGAGAGTGAAAGGGATAGGATGAGGGACATGGCATTGTTATAACATAGTGAACAACATAGGGGGAGAAATAAAGTTTGAAGAGGTAAAGGAAGGAAGAGGCAGGCCCAGGCCAGAAGAGATAGTGGGGGAAGGACTGGTAAGGAGGCAAGGGAACCTGGGGGGCAAGGCACTCATGTGTGTGCACAGGCATGTGCACGCGCACATACTAACACATGCACACACATGCACCCCCCCATGGCACTCCTCCAAGAGTGACATGCACTCAGACCTTTCAGTTGGCTGTGACTTGCGGGCAGCGCCACCTTAACACCAATTTTTTTGATGCCCAGAGTGCCAAATCCACACCCCTGTTTATCACCTGGATAGACTCTTTCATCAAAAGTGGCTCCTGGGCCAAATTCACATGGATAAGAAGTGTCCTTAGTGACAAGGACAGAACGTTCTTTTCGCTGGCTCGTGCGTCCCCTCAGAAAACTGCCTGTTTGGGGCTCCAAGCCTTTCCCCCCATAGCAAGGACGTTCCTCCTTCCGTGAGCAGGAAAGAGGCTACAAGACCGTCCTCTGGTGGGACACAGAGGAGCAGAGTTTTAAGATTGCGCCTTAGGCCACTGGTCAATGTAACTCCAGGCCCGTGGTGCCCCCGCTGGGGCCTCTCTGGCGGGCCCCGGCATGATGTGTGGTGAAGGTTGGGAGCTGCCCTGCAGGCAGCGCCCCCTCCCCCCAGTGGGGAGGGGGTTTCCAGCATCTTCAGCTTCACCATCACAAGCAACAGTGACACCTATAACCAGACTCTCATCTAAGCCCTCCCGGCCTCTCACCTGGACCAAAGTGTCAATATTCTGAGCTTCCAGGCACCAGAAAAAACATGCCCACGGCAAGGTGCTGACTCTTCCTGGACCTTTCTCTGTTTTGGAGGCTTTGTTTCCAAGCCCTCACATCTCCCCACAAAGTCCTAATAGGCCAGTGGTGTGGAGAGGTCTGAAGGAGGAGGTGAGGCATAGAGGAAACCCTTCCAGGACATTCTGGCTTCCTGTGAGTCAAGTCTCTTGGAAGGAGAGAATAAGCTCTTCCTTGGTTCGGAAACCTGCTCTGTGGAATAAGTCAGTTTGCTTCTTGGCCATACTCAAAAGAAGGTCAGTGCAACTTGACTGCTTTTGGGACTTTCCTGAGTGACATACTGGTAATTTATATATGAGGTGGGGGAAAGTGTGTAAAACCTTAGAAGAGGGGAGTGGAGAAGAACTATTTCCCCACTCAGTCCTGGGGCCATACTGGCTCGTTCATTGGCCTTAGTTCCTTCCCATCAGAGCCCCAGCCGCCCACATCCCCTCCATCTGTGACCAGGTCGCCTGCCTGCCCCACCTCCACCTCTAAAGCAACACATGCACCACTTGGGCTGGTTTTGCAGCCCTCAAATGGCTCAGTGCCTCAAGCCAACTGAAAATGTCTTACGAAATTAGTTTACAAAGTATTAACTGAATATAATAAAGAAAACCAGAACACTTTAGAAATAAATTAGAAAGGAGGTTAGTATGCCAACAGGAAGGTGGAATGATCAATTTTTTTAGTGGCCTGAATTCTTTGATGCCACAGGAATGGAAGTGGGCTTCCCAGCCTGCCCGAACAGGCTGGTGCGTTTCTGGAGGTGGGCTTGTTGATTCCAGTGGTTGCTAGACCTGGCCTCCCCATGGGCAGTCTGCTGTGGGCAGTACATGGGGCAGACTGAGGCTTCTGACCAGCTGCCAGAAAGAAGAACTTAGGGCTACAGATGTGCTCAGTAAATGCATCTCACTTAGAAGAGACTAGAATTGGTGCTGGGTGTAAGTGTACACATTCTGGCACTTTCTGCTCATGGACATGGCCATCAGTGTTCCGAGATCAGCTGGGAGATTTGGGTTCTAAAGCCCACCTGCTCTGCCTTTAGCTTGGTGCCAATCCAGTACCCTTCGTCATCATTCTGGGCCTGTTTCTCCCTCTGTTCTTCCACTCCATGTCTTCTGCCTCTAAGACTGCTGGATACATGACCCTCTAGAATGGGGGGGGGGGTGTGTGTGACACTCTGAGAATCACTGTGACTCAGCAGCAGCTGAGACCTTCTAGAAAGAAACCCATAGGCCATGTCTTGGTCAATGGAATGAGATGGCCCCTGCTGGGACCAAGTATGTCATGTGTCACATACATGGTGTGCGTCATACACCATGACGTGGCTGTGGGTGCAGTGGATATTTAATAACCGTGCCCTGGGGGAGATGGTAGAAACCGAGGGGATAGCAAGGGGCCTGGAAGGCACAGTCACCCCAGAGTCCCGCTGACTTCCCAAGAGAAGTGACAGCTGTGGCAGTGCTGGCCGCTTACAGTAGCAGTCTTCTCATTCTCGGACCTGGAACTCATTTTCTCTCGCGCCAGTGGCCTGGGATGCCTGGCAAAACTGAGTTTCAGAGGCTAGGACTAGGTAACGATGGCTTTCAAAGTATCATTTAGAGGCCCATGGTCAGGGCACCATAGACAGAGCCAGGCACATGACTCCCAGCTCTCACTGAATGGCAGTGCTAATCTGACGGCCACCATGGGATTCAGTCTCCCCTCGTCGGGCGGAAAAATACATGTTTCAATTTCAGAATCAGGCCCCAGGCTCCCTGCATGCCACAGATTAAGTCCCTCACTATAAAGCCTTTTAATTTGCAATGATTTATCAGGAAAAACTGTTTGCCGTGTTGGGTCAGGAATCCCCAGTTGGTCATTCCACCGCATCATGAAGACATTAGTAACCAGAGCCGAGTGTGCGGGGGTCAGACTCACCCGGTTTCCTTTGTCCCCGGGTGGTCCGTGCAAACCCTGCAGTAAATCAGAGAAATGGAAACACGTTAATGAGAATACACAGGATGGCTGTACAGCCCTTCCTTCCAGGCCCATAAAGTCCTTCCCCGATGCCTAATTTATCAAAGACAGAGCTAATTATCCCCATTTTACAGAAGAGGAAAAAAGGGGCTCAAGGAACTTAACCCAGGGACAAATCATGAATTATGGGCAAAGCCAAGAATGCAGCTCTGGTGTATTCGCTCTGCAGCCAGCATCCTGCCGTGGCCTCGAGACCACTCAAGCTGAGGGGTGCTGGGTGCTGAGGACACAGTCTGGGCAGAGAGCTTTCCTGGCAGAGGAGGGCTCTGCATGGCTCCTCGGCCAGGCTCTCACTAGAAAAATGGCTGCAAGGCTCCTCGGACCCTCGTTGTGAGGAGTACGCTGCTCTGCACGTCCTCTGCCAGGGGAAGGAGCAGAGGCCAAGGCCGGCGGAGACTGCCAGCTTAGCCAGAGCAAAGCCGCCCGGGCAGCCAAGCACGGAACCAGTGAACAGATATACAGCCTTCAAGTGGATGGCAAACAAAAGCCTGGTTCTCTTAGGCAATGGGGAAACCATCCCTCGGGAAAGCTTCCCCTCTCCTTCTTGCATGATAGTGATTTGGATTTGATTCTGCACGCCCCTCCCCCCGCCCCTTGAGGGCAGGGGCCATCTGTGAGACCCCGCCGCCTCGAACACAGAGGCTTGCGGTGGACGGGGCTCCTGATGCGTTTGCTACATCCCGTCAGATCATCTCCACGGCTGAGGACCAGGTTCCCGACAGGGACAGCTGAGCAGTGCCCAGCAGCATTCTAACTTCCTCGGTCACGGAAATGAGGATTCTTGTCCGGCTCTAGATTTTTGTTGTAGGCTCTGGGTATTTAAAAAAATTCTTAACTTATTGATTTGAGAGAGAGACAGACAGACAGACATCAATTTATTGTTCCACTTATTTATGTGTTCATTGGTTGATTCTTGTATGTGCCCTGGCTGGGGATTGAACCCACAACCGTGGCACATTGGGACGATGCTCTAACCGGCTGAGCCACTGGTCTGGGCTGGGTGTTCGGTTTTGACAGTGTTTCTGGTGGTGGCTAGGGGTGGGTGAAGAGAACTGCTGACCCCATGGAACTTACAGGAAGCCCAGCTGCTCCCGTTGGTCCTGTCACCCCGGGGTCGCCTTTGCTGCCCTGCAACAGGAGAAAGAAGCCCGTGAGCCCTTCTGGACATAGTAACAACCTTCCCTCCACTATGTTCTGTTTTCAACTTGAGACTCCTCTCCAGTTCCCTCCAGCAGCCCTCTAGGAAGCAAGGTCTGAGCGGAGGGTTGGGGCGACTGGTGTGGACCCTGTCCTGGGAGGTGGCTTGGAGGCCCCGCCCCCTCCCCCAGCACAGCCTGCTCCCCAAAGGCCTCTGGGGGAATGGGGGAGTATGCTGGGGGCACTGGCCAGCCAGAGGCAGAAGCAGGAGAGGAGAATGAGGGAGCAAACAGGCGTGAGTGCAGAGGCAGGGGAAAGAAAAAAGGGAGAGAAAGGGCTGTGATTTCTTCTTTGAAGCTCTAGGTGTCGCCCCTCAGAGCAACCGGCTGAGGCTGAGGGACAGCACTTGGCCCGCCTAGGAGGGATGGGTAAGGCTGAGGGACGGGACTGATGTGGGGGGGGCTGACGTGGGCCGCAGGTGGCAGGGGAGGACCTGAGGCTGAGGCGGGTCGCTCAGGCTCCCGGCTCCCCAACACTCACCCTCTCACCCTTTGGTCCCGCGGGGCCTGGAACTCCGATTGGTCCTGGAGTGCCCTGGGGAGGTGAAAGGAAGCAGAGGTGAGGGTCCGGATGCTGCGGGAGCCCTGGGAGCCCCGCCCGAGCCTGGAGAGCAGCAAGGTCCAGTGGCCAGTTTTCAGGGTTGGCGAGGCCAGGCGCGGTCAGGGCGGTCATCGCTGAGCTGTGTCCCTCAGCCGTGACTGGGCGGTTCGGGTTTGGGGGCCTCGGGGAGGGACGGCCTCCCCTGCCTCAGAGCCAGATTGGAGGAGGAAACCCTTTCACTCCACAACCAAGCTTGCCAAGGCTGAAAACGGTAGGGAAATAGTTGCTTAGTTTGCTCCCAGAAGCGCTTGGGAGGGAGTTGGCACCATCCCAGGGGTGGGGGCCAGCACCCCTCTGCCGTCACAGCTCCACATGCAGCGGGAGGGTCTTCATGCCACAGAGACCGATGCAGACGCACACACAGAGGCAGGCGTGGGAGGGTCATCAGCCAACGCCCCCCCCCACCCACCCCCACTGCGGCCAAGGCCTGGCCTTCAGCCTCTGGCCAGACTGGACTGTCTGTCTCCACTCCCAGGCCCAGTGGCACAGGGTGGGTTGGAGAGCGAATCAGCATTGCCTTGACGCCTGCTGGCACTGGCCTGGAAGGGAGGTGTGTCATCAGCCCTCCTCACTCAGGGTGGGGGAGGAGTGGGGTGGGGTAGGAGTTGGGGCAGCCGCAGGTACCGGGGCCGTGTTGCTCACTAGCTATGGTGTAATTAAACATCTTCCCCCAGTTCCCAATTGCAGCTCGGCTAGACGGAGTCTATATTTCAGAGCTTCCTATTGCTCTGCCTCAGTGCTTGTGTTCCTGCTCAGACCCGGTGCATGGCTGGGCCTGTGTAGGGTTCTGGGTGCTGTGAAAGGCAGGGCAGGAACAGGTAGGGAAGTGCTGATTTACTGTACATGGGAGGAAAAGAGCAGAAAGACACTCTCGGCGCTTCCTCTGCAGCTACGAGGGCAGAAGGGAAGTTGTGGGCACATGTGGCAGGAACACGTCACACATGAGAGGGGCCAGATGAGAGCAATGGTCCAGACCAGGACTCCAGAGTCCCTGGCCGGCGTCAGGCCCCGCCTTGCAGGCCCCTCACTCGGTGATACCACATCCGTTTCCTGGCCTCTCTGGGGTCAGTTTTCCCACCTGGGAAATGGGGGTGATAACACGTGTCTGGCCCTCGAGCTGCATTTGACGCCTAATAACTGTTAGTGTTGGTGGGGTGGGATTACTTTTCCCATAAGAATTTTCCTTTAAGACTATGGTATTAGTTTTATGAAAAACTAGATGCCCAGGTCCAAGGGGACAGAACATATGAACCTGCGCTGCTCCCCTCTGTCCTACACGAATAGAGTCTCGGTTTCTCTGACTCCGGCTGCAGATCACCTCCTGGCTCTGGCTGCACAGGTGCGAGGAGGATGGAGATGGAGGGACAGTGGTGGAGCAAAGCCATAATAATGCTCACCAGACAGTGTGCTCTCCACTGATGAGAGCCTGTGACTTCAGCTCACTACACACGTGGTGGGAGAGGCCCCGGTAGGCCTGCTGCTGTGGTGATGACATCTCCCTCTACCCTGAGTGCATGTCCCCGCCCCAAGTGAACCCTGTGAGTTCTCTCTTCTCCCAAGTGTCACCCTAGCCAGCTCATCGGAGCCTTGTCTTCTGGGCAGGGCAAGCGCCTGTGGCCTCAGAAGCGTCCTGCAAGGCAGAGCTGAGCTTCACTGGCAGGAAGGGGCCGGCACACACACAGCTCTGGTTACAGCTGCGTCCGGCCTCCCGGCCTGTGGTGGCCAGTCAGCCCACCACCGTGGGACGGGACAGTCTTCACCTGGGAGCGCCGCTGCCCTGAGGGCTTCATGGGTGTTCTGGGAGGAGGACTGGAAAGTGGAGAGGAGGGACTTTTTTTCTGATACTTCAGTTGTTTATCAAAAAAAAAAAAAAAAAAAAAAAAGGAGCCCAGGCCTGTATGGCTCAGTTGAGAGGCTGCCAGTTCAATTCCCTGTCGGGGCACGTGCCTGGGCTACAGGTTTGGTCCCCAGTCGGAGCACGTATGGCAGGCAACCAGTTGATATTTTTCTCTCACATCGGTGTTTCTCTCCCTCTCTTTCTCCCCCAATTCCCCTTTCTCTAAAAATGGAAAAAAATAAAAAATAGTAAAAAAAAGAAAGCAAGCAAGCCCAGGTGGTTTCTAGTCATGAGTAGGTGAGGTGTGTTTTCTGGAATCCAGAAAAACAAAGAAAGAGGGGACCAAGCACCCATCAGTTAGCTCTGCGTAACCCCCGTGTTGGGATGGATGAGCATGGTGGACAGGAAGGGAAAGGTGTGGCAGTGACGTGCCCACAGGACACCAGGCTGGACCGGCACGTGCGCCCCTAAATTTTGCGTCTGCCCTCACGCTCCATGCCGTCCCCACCCCATTCACACCAGACTGGTGGCTGTGCAGGACTGGGAAGCCCTCTGGGCAGACAGGAGGTGGACAGAGCTCACAGGATGACAACGACACCACGGCATGATGGGCACACACAGACACTGTTTGTTTGGTGGGGGTGTGTCCCGGCCCAGACCCCCAGGGCTGGGCGCCCTGCATGCATTAGGAAGAGTCTGTGCTGCTGGACAGGGACCCCCACTGCACACCCAGTGGTCTGGAAATTCAGGCTACAGGGCCCTGGGTGCGTACCACGAGCAGCGAAACTTAGACGAAGGCCAGCCATCTTTAGTCAAGAGGCCAGAACAAGCACGTCTGAGGCGAGCACCCGGGGTGCCTTTCTGGTGTCAGCAGTGGGTAGGGCATGACTCACTGGGAAGGCGAGGCCAGAGTGGGACAGACGAGAGGGATCACAGGCCGGGGGTGGGGTGGAGTGGGGCAAAGGGTAAGGGGGAAGACACTCACCGGTGGCCCAGGCCTGCCGTCCAAACCTGAAGCTCCCTGGACAAAGGGAACAGTTTGACCGAAAGAAGGGTAAGGGAGGCATGGGAGGGAGAAAAAGGGACCAAGGAGGGAAGAGGTGAGTGAAGCAGCGACTCTGGACAGACATAAACACTGGTCATCAAACAAAACGGGACAGGTGAGCTTGGGAGGACAGGCGGTGGCATTCACATGGAAACCAACAAAACATGGAGGCGCCCAGTGCAGTGTGGCCGGCTGCCCAGCAGGCAGGGTGGCAACCAGTGCGGAAGACGGTTTTAACCCTCCCTTCTTGCCCCTGTGCCCCTCTCCTTACATCCCCTCTCAGAAACCCCTCCCCAAAGGGCAGTAGCATGGCAGGCAAAGGGATATAGAAACGGAATTCGTGGGGGGGTTGGTGCCTGGAACCTGAGCTAGTGCATCCTTCCCAGGACCAGTCTCCCTGGGGAGAGACAAGCCTGCTTAGAGGGTGCAGACCTGGTGAGGGTGCCCTGTTGAGACTAGGCTGTGCTGGGCACCCTGAGAGGCTGGGCACTGAGTTATAGGACCCAGTTTTAAAACCTGGTGGATGCTTCTCCTTCAGCCAGGTGGGAGTTGGCCCTTAAGTGATAGCATTAATGATGGCTGACACTTCTCCAGACCTTCACAGTTTGCAGATCTCAACATGAGCTCAAGCCATTCACCAAAATGGCTTTGGGGGCAGGTGACTGGGACAGAGGTCAAGGCCATGTATGCCTTGGAGTAAACTGGCTAGAAGGTGGGAAGCTGTTAAGATCCACTCCCTATCTGGTGCTATGTGCAGTGGGAGCGGGAGCTTTTCTCCATCCTCGGGCTGTAAAGCGCCCCCGAGACCCACCTTGGAGAAGCAGGCGCTATCTAATGCTTCCAATGTGAGAAGCCAGAGAAATGGGAACAGGACACTCAAACTTGGTAAGGCCTGAGTTCTTGAAAACTGCTTCCAAATGAGCCTCAGAAGTGAGCCTAGGCCTTAGGATTCTAGAGGTGAGGGAGTGCCCCCAGGAAAGAAGGGCAGGAAGCTGCTTCCCCCTGGGGCAGGGGTGTTGGCTGTAGGAGCCTGCAGGGCCTCCCTTCTCAGTGTGAGGACCTCCGTAACTCTGGACGGTCTGGACTCATGGAGATAGCCATGGTTTTCAGTCCCAGCGGCAGCAGCAGAATATTCTGGGTGTCATGTAAAGGAATACAAATGCCTGGTCCCCCCTCAGCCCAATTCAACCAGAGTCTGCCACAGTGAGGCCAGGGTAATGGTAAGTGAGAAAAGCTCCAGGTGACTCCAAGGTGCAGCCAGTGCTGAGAACCACTTCTGCGGGGCAGACAGGAAGGAGGCAGTGGGTGTGCCTGGGAACACGTGCTGCTGGTGTATGGAGCAGAACAGAGAGACGAGGCCCGAACACAGAACTAACTATCCACAAACTCTGCCTATTCATATTAACACTGAGTTCTCTCGAGAGGTCTGGAGCACAGGACGTGAACTGGAGGTTTTCAGGCCCTAGGTGGGCCACTGACATACTTTGTATGGTTGGTAGTGTTGTAAGTAATTTTGATCTACTGTAGGAAAATAGGGATATTTCATATAAAATGCCAGATGTCCAGCTTCCTTTGAAAAATTAGAAGATCCAAAAGCATTGGACCTTCACTTTCTTAAGGCAACATGGTCAGCTGAACTGAGGAGGGGCTGATCTCCTAAGAAGGGACACGTGGTCTCTGGGTGCCGCAGTCCCCACCACTCCCTGTTGTCTCTGAAGCCCATGTTAATGCATTCATGAATATGTTTGCTCTGTCGTTTTCTTAAGCTAGCAAAAGTATTTCTCTGTAACCATATCTCTTTTGAAAGTAGAACATTAAATGTGGACTGGATACTTTGTCTTTCCCCTGGCATTTTCTTTGTTAATATTACTTGCTCAGTCTCTGTGCCATTTACATTTTGACTGAATTCTCCATGTTCACGAGGGTTGTTGGGGCTATGATGGAGGATGAGGAGAGACTCCTGGTTGAGTAAGGAGTACTTAATCATCCCAGGCACAGCTGAAGACATGGGAAAACGCCTGCTAAACTCATCAGTTTTCTGTAGTCTGCCAAGCGAATCAGCTCCTTAAATGTTCCTACTTTTGATGCACTAATGAGGGTGTAGTTATATCTTTCCTCTTGCTTTTTGGTTGCTGTGATTATATTAACCAGACCTTCAAGCTCTGCCAAGCTGGGGTAATTGGGCTTCCCATTGTTCCCCCGCTCTTTACGGCTTCCTAGGGTGGGAACTGGCCTGGTGCCTGGGACAGAGGCAGCCCCAGTGGCTGGAAAGAGCCCCTAGCGAGGCTGTGGCCTCAGTGGAGGCACATCCTCTGGTGGCCACTGACAGAATATGTGGTCTTGAGTGACCCACTTTCTTCTCTGGGCATGTCAGTACAATTACTAGATGGATCACTGAAACCGCTTCCAGCTCTTGGAAAGCAAACCAAAAGGGGTGCCATCCTCACTGGAGCTTGAGGGAGGATGGAGTCCGGAGTGGTGGGATGTGCTCACCTGGACACAGTGAGCAGGCCATCGGCCCGCTGGGGCTTGGGGCTAGAGGGTTTGCCCAGCCCAGGCCCCGCATCTGGAAGGGCCTTCAGAGCAGCCCTTTACTTTGACTGGGGGCCTCCAGCCCTGGGCAGGCTGAGGTCGGAGATCTCAGGGAACCGGGACCCTACTGCCTTAGCCAGAAGGGACCAGAGAATCTGGATTTTTACCAGAGCTTCTCCTGCGGCCAGGGCTTAGGTGCAAAGATCGGGGTGTTCCTGGGGCCCCTCTGGGAAAACAGAGGAGTGATGGAGCAGATTCCATGGTCCCACCGCTACCAAGCTCTTCAAGCGTGGCCCTGGAAGGGGCGAACCTTCACTGCCTCTGAATCAGGCGCACATAGGGCCTGAGGCTGTCCTCAAGCCACCTCTGGCTCTCCAGCTAGGTACTGGTTGGGGTAGGGGATGCTGGCTTACTCAGCTTCACATGTCCCCACACCGAGGCCAGGGCCTGGCCCAGAGGCGGCCTCAGTACGAGAATCAGAGCCTGCAGTCTTGCCCAGGTGGGAGAGCAAAGCCACACCGAGCTCTGGAGTGCCCAGCGCCAGTCAGCGCCACCTGGCTGGGCTCCTGTGAGCAGGCTTGCTGGGCCCAAGATACTTACGGGCAATCCCAGAGGACCTCGGTCTCCTTTTTCTCCCTGGACACCCTTCTCTCCTTTTGCTCCATCCAGGCCTGCTTCTCCCTGAAGGAAACGGAGATGGGGGAGGTCACAGAAGGAAGTGTCTCAGACAAGTCATTCTTGCATTCTGAGGTCCTGGATATGGGAGTGGGTGCAGGGCAGGGGGCAGTAGAGGAGGGAGGAGGTGGGGGTGCCCGGCCGGGGGGTGGCAGGCTGGGCACTCCCAGGATCCCTGACTTACTCTGTCTCTGCCCAGCTAGAGTCCCCTGTATCCCTGTAGAAACTGGGAGGTCCCCCAAAAGAGATGGTGGAGGGGACACAAACCCATATGGCTTTGGCATGGGTGACGCTTTGCCTGGCAGGGAAACTTGGACCCTTCAGTCTGGCTGGCAGATGCCTGAAATCACCACTGGAGCTCCGAGGCTCCCACACTCATTGGGAGAAAGCTGCCCAATGGTCCCCTGAAAAACGTGAGGGCAGGAGGTGAGGGCTGTTGTCGTGCCAGCAGCTCCAGCTCCTCTTCTCTGTTTGAAATGTTTTCAGGGGGAGAGTGGGAGGGCCCCAGGCCGGGTGTAGCAGGCTGGGGTCCCAGGAGGGGTCCCCCACTATGCTGCTCTTTGTCTCCTCCCCAACCTGTACTCCGGGGGAGTGGAGGTTCTGGGGCATGGAAAAAGGCTTTTATCATTTGTTAAGAGTCGAACCTGTCATTCCATAGGGTCAATTGATGGGTGGGAGACTTAAATCTGAAGCCTGCCCAGTGTCAGTGGTGGATGTACAAAAGGCCACAGGACTTCATTCTGTCCTGATCATACCCCACGTACCCCAGTGTCACATGGTTCCACCTGGGAAGGGGTCGGCTAGGCTGCCCTGCCTGAAGCACTTGCCCTTTCTTCCACCCTCATTGATGAAGTCCTCCCCTCTCCCCCCCTCCACCACCACCCCGCCTCACCTGTACCTGCCCATGACCTCCTCTTACCTTTGGTCCAGGAATGCCTTGGAGCCCCTGCATTTGGAATGAAAACAAGGTGCCTCAGAATTGCATTTCTGATTAAGTAAAAAAAACCCCTTGTTCACAATTTGGACCACAAAAGTGCAGGGGCTTAGGGCGTAGAGCCTGGCCTGCGGTCCTGCCCAGGGGAGGCAGAGAGGAATGCTAAGTGGGGGTTGTGCTGGGGGCTCCCTGGGGTGGGGCCTGAGCCAGGCTTCCCCTGCAGGGACTGAAAGAGAATCTCTCAGTGCCCCCATGGCCCACCCAGAGTCTCGGAAAGGAAGACCCAGAGGACGCGCAGCAGCAGTTGACTAAATGGATGTACTTGAAGGGCTCAGAGCAGTGTCTGGCACACAGTGACTTAAGTTACAATGAATGTTGGCTACTGGCATTGTCACTGCTACTACTTCCACCTGTGGCCGCGGGTGACAGGGTGCCATGGGAACATAAACCCCCCAGGGGCAAGGGCTAGCACCTGTGGGGTTAGGGTGCTTGGGGGCCCTCTGGGTGCAATGCCGAGGGGGCTTTTTAAAGGCCTTGTCTTATCATCCATAACCATGGAAAAGACCATCCAGTGGGACTGGTTTTAAATGGGTCGCTTTCTATTTTAATCCTGGTCTTCTTGCTGGTTGGTGAGCGGGAGGAAGGAAGGAGAGGAGCAGATGTCTGATGGCAAAGATCAGGGCTTGGTGACAGAGCCACTCCCACAGGGCAGTGGGACTGGACCCCAGGGCTGCGTGCCAGTCAACTGCTTCCGAGAAGCCAGGTGATGCCCAAGCTCCTCAGTGTCGCCGAAATGGTGCCCGTTTAACATGGGAGGGAAAAGGCGTGTGGATGATAAAACACCCCCCTGGGAGGAGGAGGTGATAGTGACCTAGTGCTGAGGCTGAGCCCAGTGACTCCCATGGGGAGGGGACATGAGGGACCCAGTCACAGTAGACGGAAACACCGATGAGCCCCCAAGCTTACCGGAGGTCCGGACGGCCCCTCTGGCCCTGGTGGCCCAGGAACCTAGAAGTCAGAGGGAGACGGTTAGCCCGCCCCTGTGAGGCTCTCGGCAGTCCTGCCCGCTGACCTGGCCTGGGCCTGGCTGGGGACTGCACGGCTGGGGACTGCACTGCCAGACAGAACCGCCCAGCGCCCAGTCTCCCAAAAGAAGGCTTAGAACCTGTCACAAACTAATAGCAACTCATTAGCCTCTACAGTGTTTCAAAAACAAAACTGACCAACCAACCAAACAAATAAAACTATTGCTGGCAAATGCCCTGGAAACATCTATCCTCCCAGACTTAAAACAAAAACCAAAACAGCACAGAAAACCTGTTCATTGTTCATGCATGGCAACAAAGGCCTGGAGCGGAATGAGCATTTCCCCTCCAGGAGGGTCCTGAGGTCTCAGTTTGCCCCAGGCCCTGCCACTCCCTATTGTCTTTAACCTGCACCTTTGTGCTTGTTTGTTGCCTGCCCCACCATTGGAGGCATTTGAATTTGAGACCTTTAGCTTCGAAGAGTGAAGTTTGGTTATCTGAAATGGGGAGAGGCTGAGACATTGCTGAAGAATATTCCTCAATTGCCCTCACGTTTGTAACAGAGCCTGCTGGGCTCCATTTCCCTGGAGGGCAGGTTGGAGTAGGAGATTCGGATTGGACAGGGAAGACGGGGAACCCGGGGCAGTCTTCCTGTCGCTGGAGGGTGGTGTGCATCGCGGGTTCTGTCTCTGATGGAGATGGACACTGATGTGCCCACAGCAGCCTCCCTAGAGGTGGGGAGGGGACCTGCCTGCTCCTCTCTGGACTAGTCACTCCACTTCCGCTTTGGGGCTCCTCTCACCTTCCCTGGGATGGGGTCCCTTGGGTGTGACCTGGGTGGGGACCCTGTGCTCGGCCACCACAGGGCGAGCCCCTGCACTGGGCAGAAGGAGACCCCGAACATCCCTTGAACCTGTGGACTTTTCGGCTTCATAACACACAGTCTCCTTGCAGGGAATGCCATCTTTGGGAACTAAAAAAAAAATGGCTGCTCGTTTTTCTTGTTATAAATAATTCATGCACCCTGATGGTGGCAGTGCTGATATGAATCTACACATGTGTTAAAGTTCACAGATGCATATACACATTCCCTCAAAAGTCGACTTCTACTATATGATAATGAAAACAAAAAAATTTATAGTAATACAGGCCCATTAAAGTATTTTATAAATTAAAAAGAATTGAAAGGAGGAAAAGGAACGAATATCTGAGTGCTGCTAATACTTCCACTAGACTTCCGCTGCTTTATTTCCTTTCACTCTTTCGATGCATAAAAGGTATTTGAGTATACGTGCATCTTATGATGTTATGTAGATAATTTGATTCTCTGCTCTTTTTCATTTAACATGAAACCCATTTTTACATTTTTTTTTGTATGTTGCTCATAAGCTTCCTTTTAATGTCAATGTGCTATTGATTGAGTGCAAGGAAAATGAGTTACTACTTAGCCAGGGCTGGAGCAGCGCTTGGCACAAGGAACATTCTTCAACATGCGGACTATTGTTACCACCAGTATTATTACCATAAGTTATTCAATCATTTCCTTCTTGTTAGAAATGTAGGCTGTTTCCAATTGTTACTTTAAATACATCTGGAAGGAACATTTTTGGGTACAGCGCTCTTCCCGAATTTCGGAGTGTTTCCTTAGGAGGCTATCCATCTCCAAATCAGTAACATACATGTTGTATAATCAGGTCTGTTTCCCTAAATGCAGATAGGACTTGGTGACATTGAAGTCGACAGGAGCTGGAGGACTTCTTCGGGGACCGAGGAAGGCGTCTGGGTGGCCCAGGCCTTCCCACCAAACCTCCTCATCCTCACGTTTCCTTGACCTCTTGCTTTCTGGACTCTTTCTCTTGAACCTGCATGTTCGCCGATTCCTGCCTATTGTATGTGAACACGGCTTCTCTACTGACTACTTCTTCCTGCACAGTTCTCTCCTCTTGCCTTCACCACCATGCCTCTCAGAGAATAATGCCTCTCTCTCTGGGAAGCCTGCTTCTGGAGCTTCTAGGCAAACTCCTACAGAGTCTTCAAGGCTCTGCTCAGATGACCCGTCTTTGGGGGTGCTCACCTGAGTCCCCGAGACACTGCCACACTCGTACCCGCTGCGGGGACTGTCTGCCGCACAGAGACGGCTCTGTTCCCTGCCTCATCTCCTGGCTCAGCCCCAGCAGGGAAATGCCCCTGAGGGACTCAGTCCACGCGGAGACTGAGGGCTCCATGGCCGACCCACTGGGGTGCTCAGCGAATGCCCTTGCACCCTCCCTGAATCAGGCAGTTGTGGGTTTCATTCTAGATGCAGAAATTCTGTGCACACTGGATAGGCTGTGGTGTGCCACGGTCCCTGTCATTGCCCCCGTGACACGGAAGGCAGAGCAGGCGCCACCTACCTCTACTCCTGGATCACCCTTTTCCCCAGGCTCTCCTTTCTCTCCCTGTGGGCACAAAACACCACGGCGTGGATGGCAGCACGCAGAGGGCCCGGGGCAGACACACCCTCAAATCTGTGACAAACCAGACCGGCAAGACGCCAGGCCTGGGTGTTGGCAAGGAACACCTCCGAGGCTACGGGGGTGGTCAGCCTGAGGGACAAAGGTGGGGTGGGGGGCCTGGGGGGCCTGTGATCACTGCCTGTGAGAATCTGGGTTTCCAGCATGTGGGAGGACAGGCTGTTGTTCTGTACGGGTCCCACAGGGCGCAGGCACTAGGGCGGACCAACAGGATATGACATATGGCGAAGTTGATGGAATATCACCCTGTGATTCTGTGACAAGATTATGTTACAAATTATAACGTACTTATACAACAGTATACAAACACATGTTAAAATTGTTACAAATATGTTATACACACACACACACACACACACACACACAACTCTGTCTTGCTAGCAAACACGGAGAGACTCCTGTTGGCTTGGCCTTGGAGAAGCAAGCTGCTACAGTGTGAACTGCCTGCTCTGGGGAAGGCTGTGTGGCCCAGAACTGCAGGCAGCCCGTTGGAGCTGAGGGCTCAGGCCCACCATAGGAAGGAACTGAATTGCACCAACAGCGGCGAGCTTGGAAGAGGGGCCCAGCTCTGGAGGAGAATGCGGCTGGCCGACACCCTGGCTACAGCTTTGTGTGGCCCTGGGCAGGGGCCCAGCGGAGATGTGCCTGGACTCCTTACCCACAGAAGCTGCGATAGCCTCAGTGTGTGTTGTTTGAAACTGCTAAACTTGTGGTGGTTTCTCAGGCAGTGACAGAAATGAGTAAGGCTCCAGAGGGGGGATGTTGATGAGGGAGCTGGCACACCACACCCAGGAGCACTCCCTCCAGCTTGGGGCTGCCCCATGAGGAAGGGGACAGGCCAGGAGGTGGTGAGCTACCTCCTGTCCTAGCTGAGCCAGGCAGCCACAACCAGTCACAGGTGGGACTCGTTGACCTCTGAGGTTCTCCTCACTCGTAAGAGGAGAATTCTGAGTCTAAGCTCCAAACACCTTTGAACTACGTTGGCGCCTGAAGTCGGAGGCCACCATGCTGTGCGCCGAGGGAGCTGGGACCCTTGTCCACACTCAACTGCCCCTCAGACGGTGTCTGCTCATGAAGGGGGCACCCCTGCCCACGGGCCCCTGCCTGCCACTGCCTTCGGACAGCCTGCACACCCAGCCCTCTCGCCTTACTGTAAATCCCGGGAGCCCGATGGGGCCAGGCAATCCTGTCGCTCCGGGTCTCCCTTGGCCACCTGGTTCTCCTTTCTCCCCAGTTGGGCCATCTAGACCCTAAGGACCGATAAAGATCTCTGTTAGTCAAGCGCAAGGTCGCCATGCTGAGCATCTGTGACCAGAAGTGGCATGCACACACGGCTCCCTTCCTCCAAGGGCAGGTGTCTAGGATGGTGACCATTCACAGATGAAAACCGCCGACGCTCTGAGCAGGCTCCCAAGTCAAGGCAGTGGCCTCGCTGGAGCGGGCTAAGACCCCTTTTTCTGTACAAGCAAGCTCTGCTGGGTAGAGGGCTTCTGCATGCTCTCCCAAGAGGCAGTTTTAGACCTGTGACTTTATGTCTTTCCCAACAGCCTAGCATGGCATCCCGGGAAAGCATTATGATCCCCGTTCGAGAGAAGAGGGAACTGAGGCTCTGCCAGCTTCAGTGACTTCCATGAGGACACACACAGGAGATGACAGAACAGGACCTAGGTCTCTTGAGGTGGGACACAGGCCTTTATAAAGTGGCTTAAGGGGAAACCAGGCGAAGCCCCTCCCCAACCCCTGCCTCCGGGTTGGCAGCCCGGGCCGCGGGGCCAGAGTCATGCTGAGGGTGGCGCATGCAGACGGGTGAGGTCGGGGCCACCCGGTCCTGGCACTCACCGGTGGGCCGGCCTGCCCCGTCTCCCCTTTCTCCCCCTTCTCTCCTGGGCTCCCCGGGTGTCCGTCGTCTCCCTTTATTCCTGCAGGCCCTGGCTTTCCTGGGGGGCCTTGGGGACCGGGAGGGCCCATGTCTCCTGGTTTGCCTCGAGGTCCCTTTAGAAAAGATCAACAATGCTCATTAGACACACGAGTGGAGAAGACAGGAGAGGGAACGCGAAAGAGTGGGTGGCCTGGAGGCCTTGGCTCCTCGGCGTTCGGCTGGACCGGGCAGAGAGCCTGTCCAGCTCCTGGAGGGGATCCGAGGGGGCCTCAGCTGCCAGCCCCAGCCCAGCCCAGCGTGGGTCTCCTGGCTTCTCCGAGGCCAGCGGTGTGGGGCTCGGCGGGGCTTCTGCTGCATGGGCCTCCCTCCCGTCCTCTTCTCCCTGCCCCCCAAGGCCCACACTCGGGCTTCTTCTACAGCCTCTGCCCCATCACCCCCCAGGGCAAGGACCATCTTTCAAGGTTTGTCTGGGAGTGTCTGTCCTTACCTTTTCTCCATCGTGTCCTGGAGGGCCTGGCAGTCCAATCTCCCCCTGCAGCCAGAATAACTAGAGGTTACTCCAGAGCAGAGAAGAATGACACCTGTCATTCATGCAGCACGTCCCATGTGCCTTGAGTCCTTGGGAGGCAGGGACTTGCACTGAGGACTTGTGATACGAGAAAAATCACAGGGGTTGGGGGCAGAGTGTAAAAGGGATTGTGGGGGGCGGTGAGATTGGAGTTGGGCTCAAGGCCCACGTAACCTGTTGGTGGTTTGGGGTCGCCACTGGGGGTGTGGCTGGGGCAGGGTCTGGTGGGGCAGGATCGCCACATCAGTAGGGCTTGTGGGCTATAGGTGCCCAGGACAGGCAGCCAGGGAAGAGTGGCAGAGCCGAGGGCGGGAGGAGCTAAGACAGCTAGATGAGGGTGGTGCCTCATGCACTGAATTAGAGGCTAGAGTGAGGCGGTGGCTCTGGGAAGACGAGAGTCACGGGATGAGGGGTGGATGCGGGGGCTGTGAACACAGACAGACACATGTGTTCCTGCTGCAGGGTCTGCATCCCGGTTGTCAAGACAAGTGTTACCTTCTGGCCTGGAGTCCCCGGAGTTCCAGGAGGGCCGATTTGTCCAGGAGGACCAGGGGGCCCCTAGGGAAGAAAAGCAAGACTCAAGGAAGAACTTCCTGATTGAGCAGTGGCCTGTCTCCAGAGGGGTGTGTACAGGGGCTGGTTTATAGAGATCAGTCATTTTTGAACATTTCATCAGTGGCGGGAACTCTTTCTTTGCAAAGGAAATAACATGGGGACCCGTCGGCATGAAGCAGATAAGCACTGAGTGTGTCTGGGTTACAGTGGCTGGTGGGGACGCTGGAGCCACACCCAACGGCCTCTCCCCACTCTTGCCTCTTGGGCACCGTGGGGTCTCCTGGGCTCTAGGAAGACAGACAAATCTGACCTTCCTGGCAGCGACTGCAAACTGTCCCCAGGGAACAACCCAACTGTCCACCCACAGGTGGAGGTCTGACACATCCGTACAATGAATGGAGTGCTGCTCAGCAGTGGAAGAGCAGCAAGGGCGGTACCTGCCCCGCCACGGCCGGAACCCAGACACACTGTGTGGAGCGAAGAAGCCAGATGCGGACACTGCTTCCCGTGTGATTCCACCTGTGGGAAACGCTAGGGGAGGCCTGTCTGATCCACGGCGACAGGAAGCAGATCAGTGGTGGCTCAGGGCTGGGGGTGGGTGGGGGACGGATCCTCAGGCGCAAGAGGGCACTCTCTCGAGTGACCGGGGTGGTGGGCCCATTTACAGATACATTTGTCAAAACTCAGCCAACTCAACGTCTAACATGGGTACATTTTATTGCATGTACATTATACTTCGAGGCTGATTTTAAAAGAAAAAAAAAGTGTTTCCAGGAAAATTTTCCTTCCAAAATCTACTTTAAATGGTGTATTTTAATGTTTCCAAATGAAGCCAATGGATTCCGGAATCATGGGGTTAATTAACACCAGTTTCCGGATTGGGGCATCCTACGATCGGTGCTTGATCCTGGGTTTGCGTCATCCCTAGGTGTGTTCTGTGGTGTGTGGCTGCTGAAAACACTCAGTGGAACAAAATGCCAGCAGCTCGAGGGCCTGGCGATCTCCCCTCTCCTCGGCCTGGTGCTAGCGCGTTAAGCACAAGCCTCCATGGAAGGCTGGCCGTGAGGCATGTGCGTGAAACCCGGGCTTGGAATTCCCTGGTTTCCCAGTTGTAGGCAATGAAATGGACTTAAATGCGAAGGGTCGCTAGTGATTTTTTAGGATTATGCACTTTATCAGCTGAAGGTTGAGAAAAGGGAGAAACATAAAAACTCCCTCCTCTATCCCTCTATGTCCTTGACAGAGCTGTGAGGAGAGCGCAGCATCTACCCTGTGACTAGTGTGCACCGCTGAATCGCGAAGAGCCACTCTGACGGACGGCCCTGACCACAGTGGGCGCGGCTCTGAGACCCCCCTGCGCAGACCCAGATCCCCCTGCCCCAGCGCTGCCATGTGAGCCCTAACCCAGAAACCCCAGTGGCTGCCTGCTTGAGGCAAGCCCTCCAGTCCTTGCTTCCAGGCTGCCCTCCCCCCGCCCCAGCCTGCTGCCCAGCCAAAGTGAGTGAAGAGGGAGACTTACGATCAAGGTCAGCGTCTGGATCTCCTAAAAAACCAACACCGTGCAATCAGGTGAAGAGCGAGTCAAGAGCCATCTGTTGGGCCCTCTTGGCCCAGTTGGAGCATGGGGGCTGGGCCCTCTGGGGACTGGGCTCCCTGCCTCCCGGCCCCCAGGCACCCCCACCGCTCCCAGAGGTGAGTAATCCCTGGGCAGGGGAGCGCCCCACATCTCGCAGAATGCTGCTCCGAGGTGGCCCTACAACGGACTCACACGAGCCCTCACATGGCCTGCGACCTTTCTTTCACTTTGCTGAAGAGGGAGGAAGCAACGTTCCTTATTCTTTCTAGTCGCTGCCTGGGGCCCTCCCGTGCTGCTCCCCATTGCCCAGTACCTAGAGTTCAAGGTCCTGATGCACTGCCCTTTAAACCAACGGATGCAGCATAGCAAAATATGGAATCACTCAAAAAATAATTAAATGGGTGATTGTTGGCATTAAACAAGAATTGTACACCTCGTAAATGGATCCACACAGTGAGAAAGTTTTCAGCCTGGGTCAGTTTTGCCCCCAGAGGATATCTGGCAATGTCTGGAGACACATTCTGATTGTCACAGCTGGAGGGGGTGCCTCTGGCATCTGGTGGGGGGGGCAGGCACGACCAGGGACAACCGCTGGACGTCCCTCCACAGCCCCACGGCAAAGATGACCAGCCCGAACATCAACAGAGCCAAGGCTGAGAAAATGCGTCCAAGTGTGGGTACCATATGAACCTGAAATATGGTAAAATTGATGCAAAGGGGAGATGTGTTCTGGGAAGACAGATGCCAACATGAGAGTGGGGAGTGTGTCCACAGAAGAAACGAGGCCCGCAAGCCTCAGATGGGCCGACACCCTGCAGGGTGCTCCAGTGACCGTTCTCAGTTCCTCGGGCCAGGGTCATGGGCCAGAGGGGCCCAGATGGACAGGCAGGCCACCTGAATGCCAAGCGAGGGGGCCGTTTGCCTGGAGGCTGCACAGTGGGAGGCCAAAGGGGAGAAAACAGGGGAGCGACTGTCCAGGAAGCCCCGAGCTGTGGCCTGGGCTCAGGGGCGTTACTCCAGGGCTTGCAGCACTCCCTTCTCTAGGCCTTGATGCGGAGCCCTGGGGCCTGTGAGCACTGGGGCCAGCCTGCACTCACCTGGAGGGCCTCGTTGATACTGGCATTGCAATCCACCATCTCTCCTTTCCCCGGTTCCCCCTTGAAGCCCTACAAGACAAACGAGGTCTCAACCCAGGGCCTGAGCCGGCAGGGACCTGCTGCCTATCAAACTGGAATGCAGTCGACACTGGCTGCGTCTGGCTACACGCAGGAGGATCCAGAGCAGCTATAGGGGGCGCCTACTGGGGGACTCCAAACGCTCTCAGAGGGTGCTCAGGACTCCGGGAGAACGCTGAGCTAGACTGACCTGGAGAAGGCCAAGTCCACTCATGGCTGCGATGCCAGACCTCCTATCAGGGGCCAGGAGGCCCCTGCTCTTGCCCTCTCTCCCCCTCAACACCCCAGAGACAAGCCACTTCCCTCTGTGACCCCAGGGAGGTGAGACATTGAGCTGTGTCTCTGGGTGAGAGGCGCACCTACCTGGGGGCCAGCTGGTCCCTGTTCTCCAGGTGCTCCAGGGTCCCCCTATTACATGACAAAATTGGAGTGAAATGGGGGCAAAGCTGGCATGAGAGAACCCGATGTCCCCAGATGGGCCATGCATTAGTGGCCACGGAGGGGCTGGAGGCTCCTTGAGCTCAGGCCACGAGGACGCAGTGCCCCCCCCCCCATTCACTATGTGCGGGCTCCGCTCCATCAGGGGGCACCTGCCCATCTGCTCTCTCCCTCCAGCTCCCCCCAGCTTTGCACTGAAGGATATTCTCTCCGTCCTGCGTTAGTTGTTAGTGACTCCACCCGTGTCCATCTGGCCACCTCTCCCCAGTCCCCTAATCGGCCGCCTCCTTGGGAGTGGAGACCAGGACCTGTGATTCTCTTCATCTCCATTCTACTCGGGTAGCGAGGGCTCAGAAATTGTTGCCAATTGCCTGGGTCAATATTACCCACACGGTTCTTTTAGGAGCCCTTCCGTTTGTGAAAGACCCAAACTACTGGGCAGAACATGGGAGGGGCTGGGGACTGGGAGGCACTGGGAACCCCAGGCTCCCTGAGCGGGTGAAGTGAGGGGGTTTCTTCTGGTGGGACACAGGACAGACGATGGGGCATAGACGGAGCAGAGGTATAACTGCAGTTCAGTTCTGCGATGATGTTAACACTGATGACAATTTTAAGACTAAGATTGAAAGTACAAATAAAGGAGAAAGCGAACCCTTTAAGGTAACTCCACTCCTGAGGACACTGCAGCTGGCCAACTCGTGGCGCATCTAGCCACTGCCGCCTCCAGGCCACCTGCCGCTTCTTCCCCACTCGCAGCACTGCTGTCAGCATGCACCTGTGAGGCGCACGGCAGCACCCCCAGCCCTTCCACAGCATGCAGCTGGGGGCGGGGGAGCGGGAGTCCATCTCTCCCAGTGGCTTCAAAGCTAGCAGAGCAGAGGATCTGGGTCGCCCTGAAGCCCAAGAGTGCTGTCCCTGGGCCAGCCTTTGCATGACGGTTGTCTCAGTGGACAGGCAGCAGGCAGGAGTCATGGCCAGTCACCCTTGTGCCCCGGAGGTCCAGCTGCAGGGATGGCCAGACTCCTAATCTCTGAGCTGGGGCTTGCACTCCCGAGCTGACCCTCATCCTACAGCTTTCAGGGCTGGGGGCCTCTGTACCTTGTCTCCCTGCTGTCCAGGGGGGCCAGCCCGGCCATCAACACCAGCTTCTCCCTGGGGAAGGAGAGGGATGGGATGAGGGTGCGTGGGGCAGCTGGGGTAGTTGTTCAGGGAGCAAGAGATGGTCTTGGTGTTAATGTTCTCGGTATTAAGGGTCTAGACCTCCATCTCCTATCTGGTCCTACCCATGCTTGGGCCCAGCCTGAGTTTCCCCTCCCCCAGCAGCCCTTTTATCTACTCCCTTCCTTCTCTGAGTTCTGCTCCACACCCGCCTCCCCTCCCCCAGCCAGGCCCTCCTCAGTTGTGTTAGCACGCACAAGCCCAGTTCTGTCCTGGCCCCAACCTTGGGCTGCCAGCAGCCCCTGGAGGGTTGTCTCAGAGCTGAGACCCTTGTGAGGCACACTGGCCCTGCCTGGGTGTGTGGTTGGGGGGCATTGTGTGTGTGTGTGTGTGTGTGTGTGGTGTGTGGGTCCAGGGGAGGTAAGAGGAGACCCATTCCAAATCTGTCACTCATTAAACATTTGCCTGGTCTTGGAAAGGGGACGTGATTTTGGGAGCAGTCTTCTAGCTTCCCTTTCTCTTGTCCCAGGGTGCAGGGATGGCAGTGACCAGGTTTCTCCAACCCCAAGTCAAGACCTCAAGTGCGCCAGGCATGCATGCCCTGTGGGGTCAGTGGGACGGACTCCAACACTGGGAATGTCTGGGAGCCTGGGGAGCAGTGCCACCTTTGGCAAGGTTGGTGCTTGTGCCGGGGGTTCTGTGCCTGCCACAGTCAGAGGAGCGCAGGCACGGGTATGGGGGAGGGAAGCCATTTCCGCTCGCCTGTCTGCGGGGTTCCCCGTGGCTCCCTGTACTGTATTCCTGTGAGCTGTGGGCTTGTCTGTCCTTCTAGACTGTGGGCCAGCTGAGGGCAGTTCTCTGCTGCCCCATGGCCTGTACAGGGCCCCCCACAGCAGGCCATCGACAACTGTCAGAGCGTGTGGGAACAGCCAATCATGAGGGCGATTAATCTTTTCCTTCTAAGTTAAGAAAGAGACCCACCCCCTCATTTTCCTGTGCTGCTGAAATAAAGCAAGCATCACAGGGAGCGTCTGCTTTGGAAAACCCAAATCTTACCACTGCAGGGGCCTCTGTGGCTGCCCCAGGGCTCTGCGGTCAGTCCCTGATTCAGTTATGTCATAGCCATTTGAATCAACGGGACCATCCATCTGTCCTGCCTGGACATCTCTCCTGGATGGTCAGACCATCACTGCTTGGGAGTGGGAGCTCAGACCAAACGACCTTTCAGAATTCACTGGGAAAACCGCACTTCCAGAGCAGAAGGCCAGAGGAGGCCCAGGACACAGAGCCGCCCAGGAAGGGGCCGAGGGTAAAGGCCTCAGCCCGACATCACCCTCGAGGGAGGACTCACCTTTGGCCCTGGGGGCCCGGGGAGCCCTGGGGGGCCGGGCTCCCCTCTGCCTCCTCCAATGGAGTTGCCGGCATCGCCTTTCTCTCCCTGGGGATGGAAAGCAAAGAGTTACCATCACGGGGCCCACCTAGCTCTGGAGGGAGTTGGTTGAAGCCAGTCTGTCCCCCCTCACAGCTCAAAAGCCCAGAGGCACCCAACTGCCCCACAGTCTAGGCTAAAATCAGTGTGTGGGGGTGGGGAGCATGAGGGGTCTGTGGGCTCCAGGATGGCCGGGAGCCAGAGGCGTTTGGAAGCCTGGCCTGGTATGATCCAGCCATGGGTTTTCGGGGAGAATGGGGCTGGCTGCTGAGAGGGAAGGGGCTTAGAGCTGAAACAACAGGCCCATCAGAACCTGGGTCTGGAGCAGTGTTTCTCAAAGTGTGTTCCATGGAATGCTTTCTTCAGGGGGTTGACACTATTTGAAATGTGACAAAAAGGGGGGGTCTGGTGGCCAGTGTCAGGAAAGGAGGGATGAAATGAAGCTTTGCAGGCTGCTTTACACAGGAAGCTCGGAGCTCCGACAGGCTAAGGAGTCCCGTGACTGTCCAGGGGGGCCCGCCTGAGACAGCTCTCCCCAAACTCACTGCACCTCGGGTCTTTTCTCAAATGGAATAGCTTACAGAGCTCATGTACAATTGAGCACATTTTCAGAGCTGGTGCAGAGAAATCTGACCAGGTCATAGCTGTTGAATTCTTTGAATGTGGGCAATTTTTACCAATCAGGGCCTCCTGTGTGGTATCTCATACCCCACTCCTCTGAAACACAATTGGACTATGTTCCAGCTGCTTACCCCCAAAGCCGGGAGGGGCACCTCGAATGCGGGGCCCATGTGAACGTACAGGGCCGGGGACGCTGGAGGGGATGAACATTAAGGCCTCTACACAGAACTCACCATCCAGAGACCCTCAACACCCACCTTCTGCCCCAGGAGGCCGAGCAGCCCCGGGGAGCCCGTCGCCCCCTTCTCACCCTGCAGGGGAAATGTAGACAGTGCGGGGTTAGAAGCCCTTTCTCTGGGTGTTGGCGCAGGCATCGCCCTGCCAGCACCGGCCTCGGCTCTCCTCTCTCCTATCTCCCGGCCCCTCTGCGGGCTGTTTTCTGAAGGACTCCACTCTTGAAGGGCCCCATCTGGGCCCAGCTCCTTCCGTGGGCCCCTTCACACCGTGACAGCTCGAGTCAGTGTTCTCCTGGCCCTGTGTGGGCGGGGCCCTCATCACTCACATGGGGAGAGGAGCCGAGGGCATTCAGGCCCTTTTGGGGTCTCCTGGGGAGCCATGAGCAGCTTGGAATGCCAGTAGTTGGGGAAACTCTTCCTTCAACCCTTTTGCTCTTTTCATGGTTCTAATGCCCAGCCGTTTGGGGCCCCTGGTCCCCCGGGGAGCTTTCTGCCCGCCTCCTCCCTGCCTCTAGAGAAGACAAGAACCATCTAACCAGAACTTCTCTTTGGAGGAATATTTTGAGAAGCTTGCCTCCTGTTATGGGTTGAGTTATTTCTCCGCCCCCCAAATTCGTATGTTGAAGTCCTAACTCCCAACCCCTCAGCATGTGAGCTTATTTGGAAACAGGGACATTAAAGGAATAATTAGCTATGTCATACTCGAGTAGGGTGGGCCCCTAACCCAATGTGACTGGTGCCCTCACACAAGGGAGAAGCTTGGCCACAGACGTGTATTTGGGGAGAAGGCCATGTGAGGGGGAAGGCAGAGTTGGGGGTGATGCTGCTACCGGCCGAGGAACAGCAGGATGGCGGGAAACCGCCAGAACCTGGGAGACGGGCCCGGAATAGATCGTCCGCCGCAGCCCGCAGAGGGAGCCAGCCCTGCTCACAGCTTCACCCCAGACTTTTGGCTTCCAGACTGTGGGACAATAAATGTCTGTCATTTTAGCCATGTAGTTTGTGGTCCTTTGTTGGGCAGCAAAACGAACACTGCTCCCCAACCAGCGTCTTCCTCCCCTGAAGAACTCTTGCCCCTGTATGAGGCCAGGGACGCCTCAGGCAGGTGAAGAGGCTCGTGACTGCGAGCAGCCCTCCCTGTGCCACTGGCACAGCTGGTCTGGCTCCTGTGTTGCCTCCTGATGCACCACCTCCTCTGCCACCAAGACCGCACTGTTCATTCACAGAGCGTCTCATATCAAAAGACCCCCCTTACCCCAAAAGCACCCCACCAGGTCGGCATGAGAAGCTCCACTCTCCGTAGCCTGGCGGCTGGTGGTTCACTTGTGTAATAATATAAATTGAGGCCCCTGGGTCATAATTTGCTCAGATGTCTCAATGACCTTTCCAGCTGGAACCATAAAAGGAGCCATACCAAGTCATTGCGGGTCATCCCCTTGTTACCTGTCCTTGGGTAGAAGCTGAATGGCAAAGTGGCCTGAAGCTGGCCAGGGAAGGGGAGGAGGCGGGGTGAGGGCCCAGGTGACGGAAGGACAGGAAGTCTTGGGGCCCCAGCAGGCTCTGCTTTGCCTGGGCTGTGCCTTAGTCGGGCATGCCCTGGAACAGGTCAACACAGGAGGCGGTGCTGCCTACCACGGCCCCGGGGGAGTGGGGACAGAAGGAGGAAGGGCCTTCGTTCTGCCAGGCTTTCTCCTGGGTAACCAAAATGGCTTTCAGGGAGGGAGGGTTGCTCTGAACCTTTGCAGCCTGTCCCAGCGCCCCCTCCTCCTGGGGACACATGTGCCCATAGCACGCTGCAGGCAGCATGCCAGCCATGGGCGGGGCAGGGAGCGGGACTGGCGGAGGTCCTGATGCAGGCTCAAAGACACAATGTTCTACTCTCTGCCCCCTCTTTCCTGGCAAGCCTGGGGGCCCTGGCTTCCCTGCCGCTCCTGCACCTTTGGGGTAAGAAGAGAAAGTCACTCCTAAGAGGATGGAGTGAGGGGGTGGTTGTAAGGGGTGTAAGGGGCAAGGATCACAGAGCTGTGTTTCCAGAATACTAGTCCCATAAGACGTGCCTCTGAAAAAAAGATGCCCCAGTCAAAAAAGTTTGAAAATTCTTCACAAGATATTACCTTTTAGAGCTTTCCAAACCATTTAGCAAATTAAAGGCTCTGAGAAGGTCTGCAATGAAGAAACCTGTGTGGTATTTTTAATCCCACATTTAATCCCACGCTGGTTGGGGAGCAGTGTTCGTTTTGCTGCCCAAAATGTCTTTGACCATGGAAACTCTTTTCACACTACATCTTTAATGTACCAGATGAGAAAGACCGAGCCCTGCAGGCACAGGGACCACAGTTCCTGCCTCCTGGAGCAGGTGTGCAGGCTACGGGCAGGCTGGCAGAGCTGTCCCGCCTGCTCAGGCAGCAGGGAGGCTCTCCTGGTGCACCCCCGACCAGCAGGCTCCTCCCTGGAGGGCCTCCCTCTGCTCCGTCAGGTCCCAGCCCCAGGCCAGCCTCGGGGAGAGGGGACCGAGAGTGAACCAGCAGCAGCCCCTCCCCACTCCACCGGAAGCCCGATGCTCCCTGCAGCCCCCAGGATTGCCCCTGTATCCGTACCTTGGGTCCTGGGGTCCCTGGTTCACCCTGTGTGAGAAAAAAAAGAAGCTCAGGTAAACAATTGAGAGGTAGGGAGAGGGTGAGAGCAGGAGAGCGAGAGCCAGAGAGCAAGCAGGAACAAGTGAGCTCAGGGCTGTCCTGTGCTGAGACCTCAAGCCCCAGGCCAAAGAGACCGCCGGGACCCTTCCTTATTCTCCCAGGCGGTGGGTGTGGCGGGTGTGGCTGGTGGGGCTGGTGGGGCTGGTGGGGGTGTCAGTGAGGCACCCCAGGTGGAGGAAGAGGATGAAATGGGCTTTTGCTTTGCACACAACGCCCCCTGTAAGTGGCCCTGCAGGTCGGCCGCGCTGAGTGCCTGTGTTCCTGGGTGTTCCCACGTCTCTGCCTGTCAGCCAGCGGGGCGGTTAGGGTGGGGTGCAGGAGGGGAACCCTCTTCTCCCAGAAACTCTGCAAGCATGTAGCTGCTAAATTTCAGAGTGTGAAGGAAAGCTCTGGCCCCATTGCACATCGCAGGAGGGTGGGACCAGCAACTGAGGCTGGGAACCCTTTGCTACTTTCTCGAGAAGCTTAGGTAAATCCAAACATCAGTTGTTCAAGTTACGCATGCATCTGGCAAAACAGCTGCTTTTGGAGAAATGTTTCCCAATCCTGTCTGCCCCTTCCTTGGTTCAGAGCCCCCAGAGACCCAGCTCCGTCTTCCTCTCTTCACTTCTCCCGTCCAGCCCCTCTGTGGAGTTACAGCATTCCACTGACCTTCATCCCAGCCACGGCGATGCCAGGAGCCCCCTGGCAGGGAGAGGAAAAGACACGGAGACTTCTTTAGGCAGGGGAAGCACGGAGGAGGTGGCTAGCCTCCAGCCTCCCCTTGGGGAGATGTGAAGGCGGACTGCTCACTCCTGCCTGCTGCCCAACCCACAGGAAAAGGAGGGGGGGTGCTGAGCTTGGCATGGGGAGAGCGCCCCGAGGAGGAGGCTCTGCAGCACAGCTGGGTTCCCAGGCTTCCCAACCACCTGCTCGGCACCCAAGCTGTTCTGGCAGACACGGTGGGGACCATGTCAGGATACCCGCAGGTGAGCTAGATGGGTCTTCCGTTGGGGGAAGACGGGGGAGGGACACATCGGGATGGGAGAGAGGAGGAGGAGATGGGAGAGGAGAGGGAAAGAAGAAGAGCGGAGGGGAAGGGGAGAGGAGTGGGTGGTGACATCCCACATACAGCCCACCCCAGGGTGTGTCAGCGGGATTGTCCTCACAGGAGGCTATCTGACCTTCACCCTCATGGACTGGGGAGCAGCTGGCAGTGCACCCCATTTCCACGCCAGGCCAAGACCACCTGTCTACTTTGGGAGTGAACAGGCTTCCAAGTGCGGTGCTCAGACACTCCAAAGTGAAGGTGATTTGTAGGGGGTGCCCACTCCCCACATGGGTCTCGGGACTGCAGCCAGTGCTGGGGTCACTGGAAAGATTTTTATGACCCCAAAATGCCCAGAAGGAGACTTGGCTGTGTCAGAAAGACGCTGGTGAGTGAGGGCTCATGGGCCAACCAGGGGCAGCCCTGCCTGGAAGGACAGGCTAGTGCAGTGAGGGGAGGGGCCTGGGAGGAAATGTGTGCCCTGTCCTCATAGAGGGACGTGAGAAGGGGGGCATGGGAGAGAGGTGAGGGCAGGCGGGGCTGCTGGGGTGTGGCGAGGGGCAGGTACCTTTGCTCCGTGTTTGCCTGGCATCCCCGGCATGCCCCGTTCTCCCTGAAGGAAGAAACAGAAACCATTAGAAGATGACTCAGGGCCCAGAGGCCTCGGCCCTTGAAGCATGGCAGGCTAGGTCGTCACTGAGAATAGCTGATCTAGAAGCTGGGGACAGGTGTCCTGCTCAGGATGAGCTTTGAGGACCTGCCATCTCTTGCAGCCACCACGGACCACTCCTCTCAGCTATGCGAACACATAGAGGGGTCCAAGTCACGGAGCACAGTGCGGGACAGACCCCCAGAGAGAGGCCCACCAGAGGAGCCTGAGCACTGTGGGGCGGGGACAGAGGGAGTGTTCAAGATCTGCTGTCGGCCATGGGCCCTCGGGGCCTGGAACTCGGTGCTGCGGGGGTGGGGTGGGGGGTGGAAGTGGCCCACTTGGCCACTTACCTACTGCACACCCGCCCTCCCATCCCCGCCTAGTACTTCTTGCCCTGTTTGCATCCCAGGGGGCTCCCTCTGGCAGAACCTGTTGTCTGAGCCAGAGGGGCTCCTGCATTTCACTTTCCTCTGGGGCTCCTTTTTCTCCCAGGTTCCTGGGTCTCAGTCTTCCCAAGGGCCCATGCGGCAGAGGGTCTGCCGTACTGTGGGTGGTGGGGGACTGGAGACGAATCAGGGCGCTGCCTGGAACCTGTCTGGAGGCACCAGGACAGCTGTCACTTCTCCAAGATGCTGTGAAGTGTGCTCCACCATCTCAGCAGGGCCCCGTCTTTTTTGTCAACCTCTCTGATCTCCCCCTGAAAATGCCAAATCTATGGGTGGGGGCTGAGCTCAGGAAGAAGGACAGGGACTGTACTCTTCTGTCCTTGGAAGGACACACCAGGAGGAGATGGAGCGGAGATGACAGCCAGTGACGAATGGGGGCAGAGAGTAGGTGAATCAAGACCAACCTGCTGTGTTGGGGGAGGGGTGAACAGGAGGAAGGACAGTTTCTGTCTCCATGAGCTGAACCCCGAATGCAGTTCCGGCCAGGGCCCCGAATGCTGTGCAGCTACAGGTGACAAATGCCAGCCTGCTGTAGCCTCCTGCGTGTGGAGGTCAGCGCTGTGCAGGGCGATACAGAACACTGACAGATCCTGGCCCTGGCCAGGGTCTCAGGCCATGCTGCAATTCCCATAGGCCTATAGGCAGAGGGGGACCTGGTCCCACCTCATCCCCATCCCTTCAGCTGTCCTCACCCCTTCTCTGCCCTCTCACAGGCAGTCCTGGTCCATGCACATGCTCACCAAGAATGGAGCTGCTTTTAACTCTCTCTTCTGTGATCGGCCTTCATGCTCCTCAGTGCACTCACTGGACAACGGCACTCCTGCTGCCATCCTTGCTTCCTTCCCAGACTCATCCCCTCACACCCTGACGCCTGTTACGTTTCCCTGAAATCACCACCCATTTTCATGGCTCTCTGCTATTTCCTCAACACCCTGCTCCTCGTCAGGGGCCCTGGTCAGATGCTGTCTCCTCGGTGAAGCCTTTTGCTGTGCCGCAAGCCCAGTGCTGGTTGCTCAGTGCAGCAAGGACCCTGCGCATTTGTAAGCTGTACCCACAAATTCACATCGGCCTGGGATGGTTCATCTCCATTCTCTTTGAGCCAAGTCTCTGAACTCTGCAAAAGGCTCAGCATCTTTAGCTCCAAACCCAGGACCCTTCCTCATCCTGACCCACCAAAACCCCTGAGCCACAGGCAGAGGTGTGGACTCAGGAAGTGACCACAGTAGACAAGCCAGTGCCCAGGTCTGCCCTAGCTGCTAAATTCTGAGAAACTTCTCTAGGAGAAAGAGCAGCAAAAGGGCATTTCCTACATCTGCCATGCATCTGGCACTGCGGTAAAGGGCTTTACATCTTCTATTCAGTCTCCAAGAATCCATTCCAACAGGGGAGTGGATAGTATTCTAGCTTCACAGGTGAATAAATTGTAGAGGTCAGGCATAAGTGTCAAGGTCATGCAGAGCAGGGATTGGAACATAGGTCTTTTGTATGCTAAAGCCCAGGTACCCATTTCTCTAGGCCAAGCCCAGCATGCAATGGGCTGATGTTCCACTTGCCCTCATTCAGTACCCAAATACCTCATTCTGTAAGCTGAAAGGAAGGGAAAGCCCTTCTCTGCTGGAGGGCCCTCAAGTCTGTGTCCCATAGGCATGAAGGGGTCAGCCTGTGAGGGCAGCTCAGTCCAGAGTCCCACCGCCTCTCCCCGCCCCAGAGCTGGGTCTTTAACCACAGGCACCCAGAGAAAAGAGCTGGGCAGGGCCCTGCCTGCCAGCACAGGTCCACCATTGGCCAGCAGAGGGCACCATAGGACCTTGCCAGAAGCCTGGCAACTGAAGCCAAGCAGCCCTCAAGCCCTTCCTCAGGAGAACCAGCTGAAGGCCCCTGTCACTATTTCCTCTAAAGGACCAGGATGGCCCACTAACATGTCAAGCAGCCCAACTGGGTTGATTTAGCTCCGAGGACACCAGGCATAGAGTCCCCTGCGCTGCAGGTGGGAGGTCAGCTTGGGGGTCCCTGACTATTTAAGGATTTCCCATTTGTCCTGCCCTTTCCTTTCTCGTCTTTCCCTCAGTGCCCCTGCCTCCCCTTCCCACCTCCATTCTGGGGAGCTGACTGGGAGTCAGAAAGCTGGCTGGCTGTGCGACTCCAGATAGTCCACTTTTCCTCTCTGGGTCCAGGATCCCCGCCTGCAAAGTGAAGTCAGACTAGGTACCTTCTACCTACCCCTGCTCCTCTGTCTTTCTCCATCCATCCCGGCCCTGCCTACGTGAGACCATTTGGAGGGGGAGAGGCCATGGCTGGGGAGGAGGATGGGTCTGTTGGCAGCTCCAGAACAAGGCCCGCTGGTGCAGAGTTTAGCTTTGGGTAAAACTGTGGCTCTAGGAGGCGTCTCTGCTTTCTCCTCCTCCTGCCCCCAAGAGACACAGAGCTTCCTGTGCTTCAGCAGGGAGGAGGGTGGGGTCTGCTCATCTTTGCCTCTGAGCCTCTGTCTCCATTCCCACAGGAGCCACGCAGAGCAGAACCTGGGAGTGAGGGTTTCCGGCTAATTGGGCTTGTCTTCAGCCCACATTGGTTTGTGTGTAAAGACACAACCATGCCCTCCAGGGAAATCTGGGCCCCTTGGAGCCTCCTAAGGAGGAAGCCTTCCTCATTAGCGTCACTGACCTTTGCCCCTTCCCTCCCCCTGGGTCAGGTCTCTTAATTCTGCAAATGACTCAGGCTCCCTTGATCTGCACCTCGGGGCCTCCCTCACTTCCAGCCCTTTGCTGGGCAGGAAGCAGGGGTGCCCTCCGCTGACCCCACCCTGCAGGCTCAGTCCATTCTCATCAGTCTCCTTTCTCCAGGGCTTGTCTCCCCGGGCTTTCCCCAGCCTGACCTCTGAACCAGGGACTGTGCTGGTCCTGGCCAGAAAACATTGATTCCTGGGCAGTGGGTGAGGTGGAAGAGGGGTGAAAGTCATTGCCAAGGACTCCACGGTGGGCGTCTGTAGGGAGCGAGGGGTGGTGTTCGGCAGCTAGTGCCAGAAGGAGGCTGGCGGCTGTTCCTGGGGCTTTTCCTCATGGCTCGTCTCTGTGAGAGCTTGTCTAGAGGCTCCTTCTGTCCCATTTTGCTTCTTAAAAGTGTCCCTGTGTAAACGGTTTAAATTTGGAATTGTGCTGACTTCAGATCCACTAATCACTAACGTCTTCATCTTAGGTGGGGGAGGAGCTCTCATTTTCTCTCCTGGACATCTGTGGTCCCCTGTCCTCCTGGTGGGGCCCCAGAGGTTCCCCCAGGGGCTCTCAGCCACCCAAGCTGGGCCGTCCCGCAGCCGGGGAGGCGGGTGCCTGAGATTACAAAGCGTCGTGCCCCAGGTGCACAGAGCGTGGGCTGCACAAGCTTCCATGGAAGCAGGCTTTCGACCCCCAGGCTGGAATGACCCACCTCCTGGAAGCCTGGCTCTTTAACCATGGTGCCGGGAACCAATGCCTGGGTGCCGGCCTGGAAGGGGTGGGTTCCATTCACTGTGGCTAGGAAAGCTCTGGGTGACAGGTGGGTAGGGAGGGGCTGCCCTGAACGACCCCGAGGGCCTGCCCCAGCCAGGACTTGTACAGTGGCCCTGACTCTCCTTCGGGCCCCTGCGAGTGCTCAGGCTGCAGCATCAGTAGGTCCTCTATGCCAGTCCGCACTTCCAGGTGGAGGACCATCCTTTACTGAGATGACAGGATGGAAGCGAGCTCCTTGGTGCACAAGCTGGCCACGTTCCCGTTGGGTGGGAGTGGCCTCTAATTGGCGATTTACTGCTTGTGGAACAAGTGGAGCAGGGACTTGGCAGGAAGACATAGTCTGGAAGGTGGGGGGGCTTCAGGGTCAGCTCCCCAGACAAGCAAAGGTCAGGCCAGAGAATCATGGGGAGATGAATGGATCCCCCTAATGTGGGGGTCCAGCTGCAGCCTACCACTGGGTCGGGGGGCCTGGGCCGAAGCAACTCCACACACAGACCCTTTGTTCCCTGCAGGGAGCGGGAAGGCCTATCTGAGTGTGGGCAGTGGAGGACTGGGGATTAGGCCAGCAGGCGGCTCAGGCCTGGACCGGAGTCCTTTCCTGGGCTGGAAAATCCGGGCGAAGAGGCCAATGTCTTTCCCTCACCTAAAGAGTTCCCAGGACTCCCTTCTGGGAAAACGCAGCTCCCTGCTCTCCCTCTAGCCAGCTCCAAAGCAGAGAGGCCAGGGACCACGGAAGTGCCAGGTCCTCCAGTAATTGGGGCTGGCAGGAAGCGATCTGGGGAATGACCGGGTCAGGCACCCCATTGAAGGCCAGGGCTTTGGAAGGGTGGCTGGCTTGTAATCTCAATTTGAGATCGGCTGATTTTGTAGTTGGCTCCAAAAAGAAAAGTCGGTTCTAATTAATCTGTGGACTTTGGAGCACAGGAGAAATGGGGCCCAGGGAGCAGAGACCAGGGGCTAGAAATCATCAGAGTGGGAGCCCCGTGAACCCCAGCGAGGCCTCAGATTTGCAGCCCATGTCTCAGCCCCCTGA